GAGCCTCCTGAAGTGTCTTCCAAGGAAGCACCAGAAATTCAGGCCTGCCCAACAAAATGCTGCAACTTTCAAAAAAATTCCACTTCAACTATCAAGAGACTTATAGAGGCTTAGTGTGAGGAAGCCTGCTTGTTAAGCCTGGGCCACGGGATCTCTGTGGACGGCAGACAGGTTGTACACTGCACAACTCTTGGGGTGCCATTCCTTGAGTTGTGAACATCCCCATGTTGTGTAGTACAGTGGTTTTCAGGGGAAGCCACCTTGCAGAGATGGGCAGACCCTTGTCTTCGCTGTCAGAAAGCCCCCTGAACTGATTCACTGATGACTGTCAGGGTCTAGGAGTGGGCAAACAACAGGACAGAGCCTGTGGGGGTTAAGAGCAGTTTTGTGACAGCATCCTTTGAGGGCCAAATATCAGGCCCAGGCCACATCCTCGTATAACTAGATGTGACTGGATTTTAGGGGGAACTGGAAAAGCAACTCCTACAAGCCAACCCGATCCTGGAGGCTTTCGGCAATGCCAAAACTGTCAAGAACGACAACTCCTCTCGCTTCGTGAGTAGCAGAGCTTTCTGGAAAAGGTCTGGGGCCCCAGGTGTCACATCTCCCTCAAGAACACAGACTACAAGAGTCCAGGGGGCATCTGGGACTGCAGGACTGGGCGGGAGGCACAAGATGGTTGCCTGTCGTTCCATCCTGAGGCCCCCTTGCACTCATTCACTCGTTCAATAATAGCCAGGTGTCTGCTTGGCACCAGGCATTTAGCATTGATCATTCATCTATACAGCATTTGCTGAGCACACATGCAATGATCAATTCACTCATTCAACAGAGCATGAATTGAGCACCTACTCTATACCACACACATCCAGCCTCCACCAAATAATTATTATGTACCTACAGCATACGATCATCCTGATGGACATGGACCAGTCCCCCTCTCCTTTTCATTTGCCAAGTTAACTTTCATTAAACACCTACTGTATACCTAACACTGACCTAGGCCCACAGGATCACAGTGAACAATTCCAGGGTGGCTCCAACCTCATGAAGCTGGTCTGGTTTGGGGTCCAGCAGGGAGTGAGGTGGGAGGTATCACTGTCCCATGCCCACTTCCCAGCCCCAGGGTTGTCCCTTTCTTGCTTGAGACTAATGGGTTGGAGGCTGTAGAGGGCCAATGGTGAAGCCATCATAGACAGGAACTGTCTTATTGTATTGAGGAAGCTGAGCCTCTGAAGGAGAGTCCAGAGACCTTAGTGAGGCAAGACTGACCAGAAGAGGGGAGCAACTGCTGGTTCAGGAGTACCCCTTGGGTCTGCTGATCCCTTAAAATGGGGCCCTGTGGAAAGGTCCCTGAAGGGGGCTAGTGAAATGGTTCAGTGGTAAAGAGCACTTGTTGCTCTTGCAGAGAGCTTGAATTCAGTTCCCAGCACCCATATAGATAGCTCACAACCTGTAACTCAAGCTCCCAGGGATCCAGTGCCCTCTTCTGGCCTCCACAGGCAGGCATTCACACACACCCATACACCCCCATACACCCATACATACACCCATAAATTGAAATAAATCTTAAAGGTTCCTAAAGACCTTGGGTCTGTCCTGCCCACCCTGCTGGTCCTCCCTGGCCTGAGCTGCTCTCACAGCCCCACAGCTTGTTTTCATCATGGCCATGTACTATACCCTTTCCTGGCCTGTTACCTACTATGGGTCTCAGATTCATACAAACCACCCTGATGCCCTCTGGCGAATATGATCAAATGAGACTACTCTAAGCCAGGTATGGTGGCACATGCCTGAATCCCAGCACTCAGAAGACCAAGGCAGGAGGACTTTGAACTCCAGGTCAGCCTGGGCTGCAGGGCAAGACCGTGTGTCGTTCACAATGTGAGTGTAGAGCCTAGGGGTATGACTCAGTGAACCCCTTGCTTAGTATATGGGAGGCCTGGGAGTCCTCCTCAGTGCTCTGGTAAAAGCATACCAGGGGCCCAGGAGATGGTTGAGTCAGAGCACTTGGTGTGCACATAAAACCCACATAAAAATGCTGAGTGTGGTGGTGTGTGCTTGTAATCCCAGCACTCGGGAGGTAGAGACAGGAAGATCCCCAGGGCGCAATATCCAGGTAACATAGCTTGCTTGGAGAGTTCCAGAACAGTAAGAGACCCTGTCTCAACAAACAAGGCAGACAGTGCCCGAGAAATAACACCCAAGGATGTCATCTAACCTCCACACATGCGTGTGCACCCACACCCATCTGTGTATACACATGCACAAAAAGCATTTTAGCCGCTCAGTGTTCAGGCCAGGGAAGTCAAGCCACAGGGCTACGACTCACAGTTGTGTCTCTAAAGATCAGTGTCATACTGGTCTACTTACTTTACACCTGTCAGCCTCAGTCTCCCCACCTGTCCCTTGGGTACAGCCATGAGGGACTTAGAGTCATTTTAAGAGCCAGGTGACCTCTGCAAGGGTTTGACACACCTGGGGTGGTCCCAGCTGAGTGGCCATTGGCTCAAGGCCATGGGGCTCTGAATGTTTGACATTCTTCCCTACCCCCACCACCCTGACACTTCCCCTCTGGCCTGACCACACTGTGAGCTTGCTGTCCCCTTCACAGGGCAAGTTCATCCGCATCAACTTCGACGTCACCGGTTACATCGTGGGAGCCAACATTGAGACATGTATCCTTTAGCTGAGCTGGGGCCATGTGAAGGTGAGGGAGCCCAGGGAAGGCACAGAGCCCCCTCCTCCCTCTCCAGGATCTGGAGTTCCTTCTGGAACAATCCTTGTGTTTAACAGCAGGTTCTGTGGGGCCAAGTTGCATTTGAACTCTAAATAGTCTATCTTGCTCTGAGTTGATCTCAACGTGCCTGGGTGACCCAGGCTCAGTTATTCAGCCTTTCTGTATCTCATCAGTGCACTGGGGCTGTCAGGAGAATAAATGGAATGAATTTACATCAAACTCGTAGCACTATAGAGCCTGGCAGCTGGGCATAGGCTGTTATGTGGCTTTCATCGCCTTGCCTTTATTAAATTTTGCTCAAGGCCAAACCCAGGAGCCCTTGTCTGGGATCAGCTGCCCTGTATAGATGGGAACAGCAGTGTCCCAGAGGATGCTGACACTGTGCAGAGCAAGTTGAGCATCTCCTTCCATAGTGTCCTTGATGCCATGTGAAATCAAGGGAGAAATTTTGAGACTTTGGAACCAGGTCTTAGGCTCAGGAATTGGCTGACATCAGAAACATTGCAGGAGGCCCTTGGGCTCAAGACTTTAGAGGTTCTTTCATACCTATTTGTGAAGGATGAACTTGGCAGTGGTGTGTCTTGATGGTATTCAGTACCCTTATAAGGGGGTGAACCATGAGCAAGCCCGCAGCTGCATCTAGTTCTCAGCTTGGCCCTATTAGCTGTGCAGTATTGGGTGGGTCACTCAACCTCTCTGAGCCTCAGGTTTATACCTGTAGAATGTTGTGGTAGTTGACTCATGACACAGTTTGGAACAAAGTGACGTCTGATGGAGTGGCTCTTGTGTCATTGTGATCCTAACCTCTGTACTTTCCCAATATAGCCTGTCAAAGTTTCCTGAAGATGAACATCCATCTACTGATCTTTTAAATATTTTATTATTTTTATTTTATGTGTATGAGTGTTTGCCTGCATGTTTGTAAGTGCACCCCTGTTGTGCAGTGCCTGCAGAGGTCAGAAGAGGGTGTCAGATCCCCTGGAACTGGAATAACAGGAGAATTGTTAGCCACCATATGGGGTGCTGGGAATCAAACCTAGGTCCTCTGCAAGAGCAGCCAGTGCTCTTAACTGCTGAGCCATCTTTCTAGCTCTCCTGCTGATCTTTTAAAACCTTGATTCTTGACAGGCATGGTAGGTCACACCTGTAATATTAGCACTTGAGAGCTTGAGGCAGAAGGATCATAAAGCCAGTCTAGGCTACGTAGGGCAACTCTCTCTCACAAAATAAAGAGAAGGCAGCCTGAGGAGACGGCTCTGTTGGTAGAGTACTTGCTGCACAAGCATGAGGACCTGAGCACCCACATAGACTCTGGGTGTGGTGGCACCACCCGAGATCCCAGCACTGGGGAGGCAGAGTCAGGAGGATCCCTGGAGCTCTCTAGCCAGCCAGTCTAGTTAAAATGGTAGGCCCCAGGTCTCAGTGAGAGACCCTGACTCAAAAAGAAACAAGATGGATGGTGCCTGAGAAACTAAACCTGAGATTGAACACAGAGAGAGAGAGACAGAGATAGAGACAGAGAGAGACAGAGACAGAAATGCCCCTCTCAGGTTCTCCCCAGTCTGGCTAAGCCCTGCCTGTTGGGTGGAATTGGACTCTAGAGCTCCTGCTCTGTAATGTTAACAGATGACTCTTTGTAAAGACCGGTGATGGTGGTGACTGCTGGGGACAGGCCATGTTCCTGGGCTCTCACCTCAGTCCTCCATCTTGAGGCCACTTTATTCTTTTTTAAAAATATTTTATTATTTTTATTTTATGTGTATGAGTGTATTGCCTGCATGTATGTGAGTGCACCTGTGTCGTGCAGTGCTATGGAGGTTAGAAGAGGGCTTTGGATTCCCCTGGAACTAGAGTTAAGGACAGTTCATAGCCACCATGTGGGTGCTGGGAATCGAACCCAGGTCCTCTGCAAGAGCAGTCATGCTCTTAACTGCTGAGCCATCTCTCCAGCCCTGAGGCCACTTTAACTTACTGGCTCTCCTTTGTGCTCTGTCCCCTTCCTGCCAGCAGCTCCCAGTGGTTCCACTTGTCCACAGGGCTACGTCAAACTTATAGAACTGGATGGTACCATGTGAGTCTGTGTGGTGGCCAACTCTCCCTGGCCCTTGGGTCCCTGAGAACTGTCTGTGGAGCCTCCCAGATCCTGGGACACCAGCAGCAGCTTGGCAGGGACAGGTTAGGGGTCAGGTTTCTGTGAGCAGAGCACCTCTGTTACCCCCCAGTCCTTAACACCCCCTGAACCAGATCTGCTGGAAAAATCTCGGGCAATTCGCCAGGCCAGGGATGAGAGGACATTTCACATCTTTTACTACCTGATTGCCGGAGCCAAGGAGAAAATGAGAAGTGAGTGAATGGGCGACTTTGGCCCTTTGATGGGGTTTAAGCAATGGTGTGGGATGGGTTTCTGCCCTTTGAGGGGATTCAGGGTAAGTAGCAGCTGAGACAGTAGATGCTGGAGGAGGGGCAAGCATTCAGTTTCTCACCTCTTGTAATGTATGAGTGCTTAGTTATCCTCACTGATTGAGTACCTACTGTGTGACACAGTAGGACGCTATTAACTCCAGGTACACATTAGAGCATTAATTGGTCAAGCCTAATTGCACAATCTGTGCCTTTGAGAGATGCAGAAGACAATTACCTGAATGTCTGCTTATAAAACAAATACCTAAGACACATTTGGCTTTTTTTTTTTTTTTTTTTTTTTTTTGAGATAAGATCTCTCTTTGTAGCCCAGGAGCCCAGAACTTGCTATGTAGCCCAATTTGGCCTTGAACCCATAAGCCTCTTGTCTCAACCTTCCAAATGCTGCGCTTATAGGCACAGGCCACTAAGCCCAGCCTTAGATTTTGAATTTACAGGGAATTTGGAGGGGTGGTGAATTAAAGACACAAGTCTTTTTGTTGTTTTGAAAGAGAATCTCATTTACACAGGTTGGCTTCACACTGACTATGTAGCGGTGACCTTGAACTCCTGATCTTCCTGCTCTATCTCCCAAGTGCTGAGATTACAGGTGTGAGCCTACCACACAGCTTTATTACAGAGCTCAGCAAACCTCTCTGCCCCGCCCCCCGCCTCCTTCCCTTTTCTTCCTTCTCTTTACCTCTCATCTTTCTTTTGGCTTGGGGGATGGAGTCCAAAGCTTTGTGCCTACCAGGCAAGTGCTTTGCCACTGCATTGCATCAAAACAGTCCTTTTCTATAAAAGGTCAGATAGACAATATCTCGGGCTCTGCCGGACACTCAGATTCTGCTTAACTCTGCCATCGTGCAGAGACGCCACATGCAGAGTACAAACCAGCACAGTGCAGCTGTATTTCAATACAGAAACAGGAAGCGTGCTAAGGTTTGCTTGCTTCTGTTGTAAAATAGAGTTAAAAAAATAAAGCCAGGCATGGTGGCGCACGCCTTTAATCTCAGCACTCGGGAGGTAGAGGGAGGCGGATCTCTGTGAGTTCAAGGCCAGCCTGGTCTACATAGTGAGTTCCAGGACAGCTGGGGCTACAGGGAGACCCTGTCTCAAAAAGACCAAAAACCAACCAACCAACCAACCAACCAACCAAACAATACACACACACACACACACACACACACACACACACACACACTCTAGTGATTCTCGTAGGAGATAAGCAGCTCTGACCATGCAGGAATCTAACTTGTAAAAGAGCGTCCAAATCATGGCTGGAAGGGGCAGGGGCACATCAGAAATATGGGAGTAGATGGAGCCACATCTAGGAACAGGATTAAGTTGGAAAGTTGATAGGAACAGCACAAACTTGGTTTCTATCAGTTTGTGGCCCAGGGTTAGTTATTTGAATTAAGATAATTATCAAAAGGTCTGGGTGTGGTAGGGCATGCCCATCATCTCAGCACTTGGGAAACAGAGGCAGGATAGCCAAGTCAAGGCTAGCCTGGGCTACATATTGAGACCCTAAAAACTTAAGGAAGCAAGGAAAGGAAGAGAAAGGAGGAAAGGGGAAGGAAAGAGAATGAAAGAGGGAAAGGAAAGCAAATGACCAATGACAGGGCAGGGTAAGTGAGCAGGCAGCCCTCTCTGGTGGGGCACTTTGCACGGTACCAGCACCAGGGGGCATCACCTTCATTTCAGTGTTTTTAGAGCCTAGTCTACCCAGTGTGAGGCAGAGCCACTTTGGATAAAGGGCGTTGGGTGGACGTTCTACACCAGCAAACAGCACAGGTTATGGGTTCAAAGTGGGAGCCCCTGTGGGGTGGCTGGCAGAAACTGCTTATCCTTTATCCTTCTGGCACCAGCATCATCAGCTTGGTTGGTGGCTAGATGCCTTAGGTGCATCCAGCCTCCCACAGTGGGAAGGGGGCATGCTGGTGGCTGAGATTCTAGGGCCATTTGCATTTTTTGGTTTTTTGTTTTTCTTTTGAGAACAGGGTCTGACTATGTAGCCCAGGCTGGTGTAGAACTCATGGCAACCCCCCTGTCTCGGCCTCTCTAGTGCTGAGATTACAGTCATGCACCTGCACTCCCAGCCTCATTTGTGTTCTTGATGACAGAGCTGGGAAGAGGCCAGGCTTGGAGAGGATGAAATATCTGTGACTCTCTCCATACCGTGAATAATTATGGTGTTGGCACACACCAAGTTCTCATGACTTTGAGCCGATGTTCTCTGAACTCAGAAGCTGAGTTTCCTGAGCCCTGGGTCTGTTTAACCTTGGGTTTATCAAGTGACTTCCAAGTGATTCGACCCATAAAAGAGCTTGGCTTAAAAATAAAAGCGTCTTCCTGATGTCACTCCCAAAGCATCTCTAATCTAGTGTAATCAAAGATTGGCTTGGAGAGGAAAATGTGTTGGAAAGGTAACAGGAGCAGTTAGCCCAGGGAAAGAAAAGTAATTATAAATAGGGGCAAGGATGAGAAATGAGCAACAAAGGGGATAGAGATAGAGTGTGGCCTCATGGGTTAGGGAGGCGGCTCAGGGACCTGAGATCCACAGCTGTTGAACCTCATACATGCCAGAGGATATGGCAGCCCACCTGCAGTCCCAGCACTCACAGGTAGACAAGGGGGCGCTCCGGAGCAAGCTGACAAGCTAGACTTGCCAAATTGGTGAGTTCTAGATTCAGTGAGAGACCCTGCTTCAAAGAATAAGGTAGAGATTAAGTTTCTCAACATCAACCTTGGACTTCTACATACAAATGCACACCCCTACACAAATGTACTTATGAACATGCACATATACATACATGCACAGCATACACATGTAAAAAAATATGACTTTATACAGAACGATCTCTTCTTGAGACAATCTCATTCTACAGACCAAGCAGGACTTAAACTTGTGGTCCCCCTGCCTCAGTCTTCAGAATAGTGAGGTTATAGGCATGCACTACCACGCTCAGAAAGAACTATTTGTATTAGATATGATAAGGAGTTAGCAGATGGTAAACATCTTAGGCTTTGAGAACCATCATGCTTCTGTCACAGCTGCTCACTATTACAGTGGGAAAGTTTACAAGGAAATGGGGGTGACCATGTTTCAATAAAACTATTTATAAAAGCCACCAGTGGGCCAGATTTGTTAACCCTCGATAAAAGGTTTATCTCTTGATTTAACTAGAAATAGTTGGGAGAGGAGGGAGGAGGTATGAGGAATAGATCTTTACCTACCATAGCAGTAAGTCAGTTCATAAGACCTAAGTGTGATATCCAGAAATAGCTTGTTATATGTAATAGTAGAGTCTCTGTAAAGCTTGTTATATGTAATGGTGGGGTATATGTAAAGCAGGGTCTCTCATATAGCATATATGATATAATATGTGTGCTATATGTATTATAATATGATATTTTTTCACATTGGTGGAAATAACATTTTTAATAGAATCTTTAGGTTAAAGCATTGACTATATGAGTTTTGTTGATTTAAAATAAATATATACAGCTTAAAAGATTTTTTTTTTTTTTGGTCTTTTTGAGGCAGGGTCTCCCTGTAGCCCCAGCTGTCCAGGAACTCACTATGTAGACCAGGCTGACCTTAAACTCACAAAGTGAGTTCATGCCTCCCAAGTGCTGGGATTAAAGGCATGTGCCACCACGCCCAGCCTAGTATAATATTTTATGTAGCATATGTAGATGATACATAGCATTATAACACATAAAACTCAGTGGGTCTATTACAAATGGAGATTGTGGTAACCACCAGAATGAATAGATAAGAGATCAAAGCAGTCCTAGGATGGGGGGAGATGGAACAGGGATGTGGCAGAGAGTTCTGTTTTGATTATAAACCTTTTGGTGGTAATTTATTTTTAAACTTTTTGTGCATGTATAATTTTGGATAAAAACTTAAGTGGGTGAGATGGGTGTGGCAGCACACGCCTGTAACCCCAGCACTGGGAAGGCTGAAGCAAGAGGAGCCTGAGTTCAAGACCAGCCTGGGCTACAGAGTGAGAACGTGTCTCAAAACAATGCAGAATATATTTGTACAAGGAAGTAAGTGAGAAATGGTCTAACTGCAGCTTTGTTCCTGGAGGTGAAGGCTTGGGGAAATCCAGGCTAAAGACATCCATTCCTCTATAGAAGCAGCCCCACATCAGGGGCTGTGCTTAGCTAGTAGAGACAAGGCTAGAGTTTAGTTGGCAGTTATCGGAGTGGATGAGGCCAGCACTGACTGGTAAAAACATGCACATGATGTATCAGGAGGGTTTGTAAGTGCCCAAGCCTTGAGAAAGGGACAGAAATGATAACAGCCCAGACCACTGCTGGGTTGCTGTGTCCCGTCTCCTTGTTCATTGTGCCTTCTCCCTTTCTTCCTAGATGACCTGCTGTTAGAAGGCTTCAACAATTACACGTTTCTCTCCAATGGCTTTGTACCCATCCCGGCGGCACAGGATGACGAGATGTTCCAGGAGACGCTGGAGGCCATGTCCATCATGGGCTTCAGTGAAGAGGAGCAGCTGGGTGAGTCCACAGTAATCAATTTGTGTCTGTGGTACCAGTGGATTCCCTGCTGGCCCTTGTCTGGTCAGGACAGATGTCCACTTTCTGAATACCCTGAGGAACGAGGGAGGGAGAAAAGAAGAGGGAGAAAGGAAAGGGAGGGAGGGAGGGGGGAGAGAACCAAAGGAAAACAAATGTTGCCGCTGGTAGCTTGCTGGTGGTCTAGATAAGTGGCTGAGGTTAGAATCTTTTGGTTACCATTAGCCCAAATTGATTTAAGTAAAAGTGATTCACTCTGTGTTAATTGCTTTTGCGTCACTGATGAAATACCTGACAGAAAAAAAAACTTGAAGGAGGATTTATCTGGGTTCATGGTCTCAGATGGTTTTGCTCCATCATGGGGAAGGCATGGAGGAAAAACTGAGGTCATGGGGCAGGAACATGTGGCAGAGTTCCTCAAGTCACAGAGGCAGGAAGCAGAGTGAGAGGGAACTCCCCCTAGTGACCTACTTCCACCAGCCAGGCCTCACCTCCTCAAGGCTCCAAGGCCTTCAAAAAAGCGCCACCAGCTGGGGACCAGGCTCTGAACACATCTGTAGGGCATGTCTGGAATCAAGCCCTAGTAACTCCTGTGTTGGAAAGTTCAGGTATACAGGTTGGGGGTACAGCAGGAGCTAGGGGCTCAGATTTCTCTAGAAGCTGCCTTCTGGTCCTCCATCGTTCACCACCACAGTCCATACATAGGCTACAATTTCTTGGCAGCAGCATGGCTGCATCCCAGCCCTTATAGTCTTTGGGTTTGTGACCAAAGGACAGAGGGGCTCCCTGTTTCAGCCCTGGATGGTGGCATCTTGCTAAGTTGGTGGCCTAGGAGGATATGTGTATCCCTGGCTACCTGTGATTGTAGGAGTATGGGAAGCTTGGGACAGGTAGGTGATGGGTGCTCTTGGGGTTGGACATGGACACACCAGAGCCTCACCAGGACCAGAGGACATGAAGAAAGTGATGGAGATACAAGGCCTGTGAGGCTTTTCCTGAGAAGGCAGCTGTGGCACTGTACAGATTCAGTGACCCCCGTCATCTCAACAACCACGAAGCCCCTTCAGCCCCTGCTGGCTTCAGTATTCTAATTCCAGAAACATTTTTCCTTCCCGCTCTGATGGGCCTAGCTTTCAAAGTTAACTTGGGCATGACTGTGGAAAACTGTCTTCCCTTCTCACGCCCTCTGGGGTCCCAGAATAACACCAATTGCTACAGTGACGCCCACGGGGTGGGTTGGCGCCTACAGGACCTGCAGTCCAGAAAAAGAAGGTTCTAGGGCAGAGTTGATGGGTGGTAGCTCTTGCCCAGGGCCCTACATCCGCAGCCAAGGCCATGAACTCCCCACATCTGATGCATTTTCTTTGGGACGTGGGTCAGTTTGTCTCCTAATCTAGCTTTAGGAAAACACAGAGTGATTAAGAGCTTAACGTATGCAAGCTGTGTGCCTTTTGTTTTTCCCTTAAGGCGTCATCTATCCAGTGTATTTTATTCAAATAGTGAAAAAAAATGGAAACAAATTGAAATGGTGATTAATAAAAGTTATTGTCTGCTTCTGTGAAAGGGGACAAATTGGGCCAATTAAATTGTATTGTGGAAAAAAACATTGACCTCTGTGCAAATGTTCAGGGGAGATTAAAAGGCAAGAGAGTAGCAACAAGTGATATGTTACCTTTTTGAGACAGGTCTCAGGTAGCCCAGGCTGGCCTCAAACTCCCTAAATCAAAGATGATCTTGAACTCTTGATTCTCCTACCTCTCCCTCCTGAGTGCTTGGGTGATGGGCATGTGATACCACATCTTTTTATGCTAGGGGTGAGACCCAGAGCTTCCTGCATGCTAGACAAGCACTCTATCAACTGAGTTACATCCCCATCCCTGCACTCTTTTTACTTGGCTGTGCTGATAGAGCCTGGATCTTGTGCATGTGGAGCAAACATGTACATCATGTTGTTTAATTGCATTAGCTAATGTCACAGCCACTCTGTGGGGCAGCTGGAGTTAGCTTTGGTTTGTAGATGGGGAAACTGAGGCACAGAGAAATAGAAGAACCTTCCCAAAGACACAGAGCAAGTTGCTTGGAACCTAGAGCTCACTCTTGGGTCCCTGCTTTTGTCTTCAGGAAGGGAGGTTTGGGCCCTTAAAGCACTTTAATAATTTGTGTCAGGGTCCAAGTGGAAAGCAAGGTCAGATGGACCTCCTAACTATATGCTCCAGCCTGGTGTGGCACACATCTGTAATACCAGTACTGGGGAGACTGAGGCAGGAGGATCGATGTGAGTTTGAGACCAGACATGGTTACAGAGTGAAACCCTATCTCAAATACAAAAGCTAACAACCAAATACACAAAATACAATACAATAAAATGTAAAACAAAATATTCATGCAGGCTCTCCCTGCTAGTGATAAATGATGTTGGTTCTGTCCTGAGATGATGGTCTGGTATTTAGTAGGACTTCAGCTCCCCTGTGGTACTCATTAATGTCCCTTTAACCACACAAACTAGAGCATAAGCCAAGCCCCTCAGACAGGGCCCAGTCCCCTGCCTGGAATCTGATAATACTGTTTTCCTAGATATATTTTTAGAGTGATTCTGAATTTTTGGTGAGAGAAGCTGGTTTTTCACTTAAGGTAGTTTCCTACTAAAATCAACTTGAGGAAAGAAAACCAAGAAAATGAAAGGGAAAGGGTTAAGTCAGTGGTGGAGCAGACAGGACATAGATGGGGTGAGCGTTAAGATGTGTTGTGTACTGCTGGGTGTAGTGGTGCATGCCTGTAAACTCAGCACCTGGGAAGTCGAGGCAGGAGGATTGAGCTACGTAGTGAGATCTGTCTAAAGGAGAAAAAAATTGTGCAAATGACCAACCACTATGACTTAAGCCAGCATATACTCTGAGTCTGCTTATAAATCTAGAGCTATCACCAAGCCTGCTGCCAGGAGCCCAGAGAAGGGACCCATCTGCAGCTAGAGCATCAAGAAGCTGCAGGGACCAGGATGTCCCCTGCCATGTTGATCTGCTGTCCTAAGTAGCTGCAGAGCCATCAGAGCCCAAGAGAGAAACAGTCAGAGGAGACCACAGAAATCATCCATTCCACCCTCTGGGTATCCTGAGTTCTCAGAAAGAAAGGGCCTTGTCCTTAGACTCTCCTGGGTCATGCTGTCAGCCAGCTGCCCTGTAAGTGGGACAGTTACAGTGGCAGGGTGCTGCACACTGCTCGTGTTCAGGTGCTGTGCTATTTAACTTTTCTAACAATCAACCCTATAAGCCAATTGTCTTTGCGGCTCTTCAGTTAGTGAATCAGAGGCCCAAGACTGATAACTCATTTGAGGTCATGCGACTGATGCAGACGGGACTGGGATGGGAGCCCCTCCAGCTGTCTCTAGCATCCCTGCAAAGCTCTCCCAGGGACTGTGGAGAACTGACACCCGATTTCAGCCATTTGCAACTGACACCACTCCATCTTCTGTCTGAATTGTTAATGGTTGAATATCTTAATGTGTGGGGTAGAATTTTACAACTGTATTCACTGTGAGCCTTGTCACAAGCAAGAATTTTCTATAAAATCACCAATTTTGTGTCTGGTTAAATTAATTCTAATAAACTAGAGTCAAGAAAAAAGTATTTTTAAACTGTCTTGCTAAGTTGTCCAGGCTGGCCTGAAACTCAAAATCCTCCTGCCTCAAGCTCCTAAGGGCTGGGATTATAGGGCTAGGTCACAACTCTCATTTTAAATAAAGTCTTCAATTTAAAAAGATTTACAGGCTAGGCGTGGTGACACACACCTTTAATCCCAGCACTCAGGAGGCAGAGGCAGACAGATCTTTGTGAATTCGAGGCCAGCCTGGTCTACATAGTGAGTTCTAGGCCAGCTGGGGCTACAAGGAGACCCTGTCTCAAAAAGACCAAAAAAAAAAGATTTAGTTATATTTATTTATTGGGGGAGGACATGGCGTGGTATGCATGAGGAAGTCAGAGGACAGCTTGCAAGAGTTGGTTCTCTTTTCCCACGCTGTAGGTTCCAGGGGTCAAACTCAGGGTGTCAAGCCTGGTAGCAAGTGCCTTTATCTACTGAGCCATCTCACTGGTTCAAAACTCAATCTTTTTTTTTTTGGTCTTTTTGAGACAGGGTTTCCCTGTAACCCCAGCTGGCCTGGAACTAACTATGTAGACCAGGCTGGCCTTGATCTCAGAGATCTGACTGCCTCTGCCTCCCGAGTGCTGGGATTAAAGGCGTGCGCCACCATGCCTGTCAAAACTCAATTTTTAAAAAATATTTATTATTTTTATTTTATGTGTATGAGTGTTATGCCCACATGTAAGTAAATGCACCTGTATCATATAATGCCCAAGGAGGACAGAAGAGGCTGTCGAATCCTCTGGAACTGAAGTTACGGACAGTTGTTAGCTGCCATGCAGGTGCTGGGATTTGAACCCAGGTCTTCTGCAAGAACAGTCAGTGTTCTTAACCGCTGAGCCATCTCTCCAGCCCCAAAACTCAGTTTTTCAAACTGACTCTCAACATGGGTGGAGTTTACATTAAGATCTGTTTAATCATGTTTTGAAAAATCAGTTCCGGTAACTCAAGGCTCCTTGCCCCAGTGGAAAAGAACCATCAGGTACCTGTTGCCATCCCAGGTGCAGCTATGGTCCCCATGAGTCCCCAGGCTCCGTCAGCCTACTGTGCTCATTGAAACAAATGCTTCTCAATATGAAGGGTCACTATGCCCCCCAGGGGATGCTTCGCAAAGTCTGGAGACATTTTTTGATGTCACAACTCTGGAAGTGGCACTGCTGCCATCTGGTGGTGAACGATGAAGATGCTAAGTATCCCATTTCCTCTAATTCAGCAATGCAGAGGTGAAACTTGTTGAAAACCGTAAGCCCAGCACTTCATAGTTCCCTAAACCCCTCTGGTCACGTTAGTATTAAAGAGAACACCCTCAGCAAGGTCCTGTCCACAGCAGCTTCACAGTTGATGGGAGCAGGTGTGTGTGGAGGGGTGGTTAGCAACTGACTCTTCACCCTGCTGAGTGGGTCCTAGACACTAGTGTGAGGACAGCTGTGGTAAAGGGGCTGCAGCCCAGTTTGGACTAGGAGACCAGAGAAGGCTGGGATCTCAAGGCTTTGGTTTGGGGGCATGGTAATTTCTTGGTGACTGTCTCCACAGTCCAATTATGCCAGGTGCAGGCAGTGATCATTGACCCATACTGCACTCATCCAGTCATTCTCTACCCACCCATCTTTCTTGCCATCCTCCATCTACCTACCTATCCTTCCCCTTCCATTCATTCATCCATCCTCCACTCAGTCAGCCATTCTCCTCTCAACTATCTCCAGCCATCCTTCCATCATCCACCCATCTTCTACCTGCCCATCTATCCTCTATCTACCTTCCATCAATTCATCCTCTATCCAATCACCCACCCTCCATTCATTCATCTAACACCTATCCATCCTCATCCACCCATCCATCCATGTGTCTTTGATCCATTCATCCATCCATGCATGCATCCACCAGCCATCCATGTATCTTCCACTCACCCATCCATGCATTCTCCACCCACATATCCTTCATCCACCCATCCTCCATCTATCCATGCATCTTTCATGCATCCATCCATCCTCCGTATACCCACCCATTCTTTTTCCATCCATACATTCATCTATTCTCCCTCCATACATCCTTCCTTCCCTAATAGTTAGTGAATAGCATTTTGTCTATGGCTGGAGTTTGCCAGTACCTCCTACACAGAAGAATTCCATGTGGTACAAGGCATTAAACATCTACCTGGCAATACTCAGCTCCCTCATCCAGGTGTTCTCCTCTGTGAACAAGGAGTCAGGTAGTTTGACTCTGGTCAAGATGTAGGAGCTCAGAACTGCATCTACAGAAGAAAGGCACTGGATAACTCTGGGTGCCCAGTGATGATTAGCTCTCCAACCTGCAGAGCACCTCAGGTTGACACTGTCTGATCTGCTCTTCTCTCTCCACCTCAGCCATCTTGAAGGTGGTGTCCTCCGTCCTACAGCTCGGAAATATAGTCTTCAAGAAGGAAAGAAACACAGACCAGGCATCCATGCCAGACAACACAGGTATGTGTCACCTGTTCCCAGTAACTGATGGCTTCAGGAATGAGAGAGAGGGGCCCGTTCAGTAACTGGTGATATAATCATTCCTCTTATCCAAGCACACAGGACAGCATAGCAGAGTCTGAGAGGAAGCACTTTCATAAAACTCTTGTTATATTATAATTATTTGTCATTTATTGTTGTTGCTTTATTGTTATTGGTTCTTTTAGACAAGGTATATAGCTCAGGCTGGCCTAGAACTTCCAGTCCTCCTGCTTCAGCCTCCTGAATGCTGGAATTGCAGATATGGAACACCAATGATTCAGCATTTCAGGTCAGACAGATCCTCAGGGGTCATCTCTTCTGAAGCCCTACACTGACTTGTTGATTGAATTAATATTTCCTGAGCAGCTACAATATGCCAGATCCAAGACAGAGCAAGAAATAAGCCAGCCCATCCCTGCTTATGATGCATACAGTCTTTCTGGGGAGACAGGCCTCAAGTTTCCCTGCAAATGAGGGGTGCCAGACAAAACACAGGAGAGCCAGTTAAACACAGGTTTCAGATAAGCCATAAACACGTTCCACTACAAGAATATTCAGTGGGGACTTGATAGATGACTCAGCAGTTAAGAGTACTTGCTGTTCTTCCAGAGGACCTGAGTTCAGTTCCTTACACCCATGTTGGGTGACTTACAACCACCTGCAACTCTAGTACCGGGGGGTCTGTATTAGTCACTTTTCTGTTGCTGTGACATAACACCACGGCCAAGGGAGCTTATAAAAGAAAGAGTTTATTCAGCTTATGGTTCCAAAGGGACAAGAGTTAATCATGGTGGGGAGGCATGGCAGCAAAGGTGGCTGGAGGAGGAGCAGAAGCTAAGCACTCACATCTTCAAGGAGGCACAGGAAGCAGAGAGTGACTTGAGATCCTGCAAGGCTTAAGAACTCTCTAAGCCCCCAATGATGTGTTTCCTCTAGCATGGCCACACCTTCGAAACCTCCCCAACAGTGCCGCCAATTGGAGACGAAAAATGAGAATGCCTATAGGGGACATTCTCATTCAAACCATCACAGGATCCAACACCCTCTTCTGATCTCTGAGGACACTGCACGTACATGTGCATGCTCACAGACAGACAGACAGATACACATATCCACACAGAAATTAAAATAAATCCTCAAAAAAGAATGTTCTAGGTCATAGTTAGACTATAATTATATATGGGGAGTTGATAGATGACTCAGCAGTTAAGAGCAAAGTTTCTTATTCATCTGAAATTCATACTTAACTGGGAATCCTGGTTCCCACCCTGGGATTTCTGCTGCTTAGGTCTGACAACCATACTGGCATATATGCAGAACTGTCTGCTTTGACGTTGTCGGATTCTCACCATTCTTGGTGGCAGCTGGAAATACAGGTTTCTGGGTTTTGGGGTACCCCAGGTTGTACATTGTGTTGCTTTTTCAGCCCCTCCAAAGATCACCACATTGGATCTATATTGTATATTACCCTCTCCCAAATATAGCACATGAATAGGATCTGATCCCTAGGAAAGACCTTCAGAGAAAGAGACATGAAATGACAGTGTTGCAAAGCAGTGGGGAGGGGGGAACCCTAAAATAGTCACTGTCTGCCTGACATGCACACCCTCTGAAAGATGCAGGAGTCTGTGTGCAGGAAAGCAGCTCATGGTAGGGTTTCATGGCTTTATTTAAGTTTTTAAGTCTTTTATTATTTTATGTATATGAATGTTCTGCCTACAAGAATATAAGTATACCACATGTATGCAATGCCTGTGGAGGCCAGAAGAGGACATTGTATTCCCTGGAACTGGAGTTATGGATAATTGTTAGCCACCATGTGGGTGCTGGGAACTGAACCCAGGTCATATGCAAGAGAAACCAGTGCTCTTAACCATGGAGCCAGCTCTCTAGCCCTTTTTTTTTTTTTTTTTTTTTTTTTCATTTTTATTTTATGTGTATGAGTGTGTAAGTGCACTCAGGTCATGTCATACCAGTGGATGTCAGAAGAGGGCATCAGATTCCCTGGAACTGGAGTTACAAACAATTGTTAGCCACCATGTGGGTGCTGGGATTCAAACTTGGGTTTTCTGCAAGAACAGCCACTGAGCTATCTTTCCAGCCTCCCTTATTTAAGTTTTTAAATGCAGAAATACACACAATAATATAATAAGCCACATCTTTGACTAAAATAGATATTTACAACACTTTTTTGAGACAGAGCCTCACATAGCCCAGGCTGGGTTCAAATTCACTATGCAGGTAGGGATGATTTGAACTTCTGGTCCTCCTGCCTGCAACTCTTAAGTGCTGAGATTACAGTGTGTCACCATGCCTGAATAATATTTCTTTCTCTTTAAAGGGAAATAAAACAGTATTAGATGACCCCCACTTCTCCTAGTGGTACTCCCCTCTGCTTGTTAAATCACCTAAGATGCTTCTTTTTTCACATAGCTGCTCAGAAAGTTTGCCACCTTGTGGGGATTAATGTGACTGATTTCACCAGAGCCATCCTGACCCCACGTATCAAAGTTGGACGGGACGTGGTGCAGAAAGCTCAGACCAAAGAACAGGTAATGCCGATGTGGCCATTTATGCTGTAGAACCTTCCATCTACTTGCCCATGTGACCATCTGTCATCCACTTCCATACCATCTACCCACCATCCATCTACCTATGCATGCATCCACTCATCCATCCATCCAACATCCATCCAACCCAGGAATCTACCCATCCATCCATCCATCCATCCATCCCAACATCCATCCAACATCCATCCAACATCCATCCAACATCCATTTACCTGTCCATCCACTTACCTTCCCATTCATCTATCCATCATTCATCCACTCATCCATTATCTACCTACCCACCCATCTACCCAACATCCATCTTTCTACCCATCCACCCATCTAACCACTTATCTATCCAACATCTATCAATCTATTAATTATCCACCATCCATCCAGCCAGCCATTTACCTACCCATCCATCTATATACCATCCACCCATCCATTTACTTACCTCCCCACCCATTTATCCATTCAGCCAGCCATCATGCATCTATTTACCCATCTACCATCTCTCTACCAATCCACTCATCTATCATTCATCTACCCACCCATCCTATATCCACCCCCATCTACCTACCCATCCATCCATCTATCTCTCTGTCCCTCCATTTATCCATCCATCTATCCACCAGCTCATCCATCCACCCATCCATTCATTCACCTATCCTATCCATCCATCCATTTTTTGAAATCCCATACCAGCTTTTGAGAATCCTACTAAATAAGAACAGAGGCCCTCACACATCCCTTTACCTTGATCTCTAGTTGTGGGTGCAAGGATAACCTAGAGACATTACCTGTGGAAATGTCCAGCCCTCTAATTGATCCTGGGCTGGAACAGGTTGCACAAATCCCTCTTGGGAGCTCGGGAGGTGTTTCATTATCCATCTGGTCCTTAAGTCTGACCACTCTCCCTTCCACTCCCCTGCTAGCTGTAGAGTTGGAATATTTTCCCATTTTATTTTTAAGGACTGATTAAAGGTAGGGGAAGAATAAACAACTGAACCTTGTGCCTGGTTCTAGTGGCAATGTCACCCTCACTGCCCCTGCAGGCTGACTTTGCCATAGAGGCCTTGGCCAAGGCCACCTACGAGCGCCTTTTCCGCTGGATTCTCAGCCGTGTGAACAAAGCCTTGGACAAGACCCATCGGCAGGGAGCTTCCTTCCTCGGGATCCTGGATATTGCTGGATTTGAGATCTTTGAGGTACAGCCTGGTGGGATCATGGCAGGCGTTGTCTTGTTCCCCTGAGATGAGGCTTCCTGTTGGAGACATTATTATTCTGGAGAAAGGCATATAGGCGGGTACAACAGGGTAGGAAGCCATCTGGTTAAGGTTAGAAATTTGAGAGTGAAATCCAAAAGGGAATATATTGCCTTGTGTAACTTGGGTGGCCAGTACAGATGGCCAATAGGCAGGACCTGGTCACTTTGTTTTCTACCATATTGGCTCCATTGTCTAGCAGCCCTTCCCTGTGGTGCTGAGATGGATGCTGGAGCTCCAGACTGTCTCCTAGAAATCTTAACAAGAAAGAACATCTCAAGTCTGAGAGTTCTAACCCAGATCTTGAAGTATAAGTCTCATTGGTTTCTGGTCACTTGATTTGGGTCAATGTCAAGCACACTTTTTTTTTTTGTCTTTTTGAGGCAGGGTCTCCATGTAGCCCCAGCTGGCCTAGAACCCTGTAGAGAACAGGCTGGCCTCAATCTCAGAGATCCATGCTGGGATTTTCTAGTTCTTACCAAATTTCGCGTAGTGTAAGCAGGGCGCCTGAGTCCCACCTCCATGAGTTGAAGGAAATTTCTCAGAGAAAGAGAAGTCCTTGAGTTGACCAAGGAGGTCTACTATGGAATCACCTTGTCATTGAGGCGAGTTTCCTCATCTGTGAAATGGTGAGAATCTTTTCACATGGTTAGTTGATCTATATATAGATCACTGTGCGGGTGGAGAAAATAAATGCCCTAAAACCCAATACATGAGTGCCCTGTGAAATGGGTGTGGGTCACTTTTGCTAGCCATGCTGGACACTAGGCAGCCTCTGCTGAGTACTGGTCTTCCCTGGGTGCTGAGGTGGCAGGGATGAGCCCTTGAGAGAGCCATATCCAGATCGAGGCTGTGGGCTTGCCTGCCCTCTGACCTCACCCAGCTCACCCACCTGTCTCCTCTGTGTGCATGCGCAGGTGAACTCCTTCGAACAGCTGTGCATCAACTACACCAACGAGAAGCTGCAGCAGCTGTTCAACCACACCATGTTCATCCTGGAGCAGGAAGAGTACCAGCGTGAGGGCATCGAGTGGAACTTCATCGACTTTGGCCTGGACCTGCAGCCCTGCATTGAACTGATCGAGCGGCCTGTGAGTGCTTGGTGGTGAGGGTACCACTGCACATGCTCAGCTCATTTACTAACACCTGGTCTGACCATGTTTTCCATTCGGGTGGCTTCTATGGGAAGGTGCAAACTGAATCTTTGTGAGCTAGGTCACGCTTTCTGTTAACTCACGTTTATGATCAAAAGTATTTTAAAGAATTTTTCCCTCCCTTTTTGATTTTTGGGTTTACTTAAGACAAGAGTGACACTCTGGAGGTTGGAGAAAGGCTCAGTGGTTAAGAGTGCTTGCTGCTCTTACAGAGGACTGGAGTTTGATTCAGCACACATGCCAGGCAGCTCACAACTGCCTGTAATTCCAGTTCCAGGGGATCTGATGCCCTCACGTGGCCTTCATAGGTATCTGCACACACATGCACACACACATAAATAAAAATAAAATAAATGAGAAAGTCTCACTCTGTAGCTGAGCGTTACCTAGAACTCATTATATAGCTCAGGCTAGGCTCAAACTTGTGACAGTCTTTCTGCCTCAGCCTCCTAAGTTGAAATTACAGTTGTGGTGGTGCCCAGAAAAATATTTTAGTGATTCTGAGGTTAGAACCCAGGGCTTTGTCTAGGTTGGGTAAGTGCTATACCACTAAGTCACATCCCCAACCCTTTAAGAAATGTTTTATTAGCATGTATTCATTTTGTGGGGGGGGCAAGGTCTCATGTAGCTCAGGCTGACTTCAATTTCACTATGTAGCTGAGGATGACCTTGAACTTCTGATCTTCTTGCCTCTACCTCCCAAGTGCTGGACACAGTACCTGGTTTATATGTATACTACCATGCCCCAATTCTTCCATTTCTTTCTATTCCTCTCTTCTATTCATTAATTCCCAAACACAGATGTCTTGTTTATCCCAAATTCTTAGAGCCATAGTAGGTGAACAGTCAGTAATGAATGTTTCCTGAGCACCTTCTGTGTGCTGAGTCCCTTCTTTAGGGACTAGGGCTGTAATCGTGGACAAGACATATGCACCCTTGCCTCCTGGAGGAACAGATTGTGAAGCCACTGAAACTCCTGACAAAGCCAACACAGAGAGCAATCAGGTGATGCCTCTATGAGCCTGAGTCCCCAAAGTGGAGACCATTCCCACAGGGTGAATGGCACATGCCAACACCTCAGCTTAGATACTCTTAGACACAGGAAAGGTTTTGCTAAAAGGAATCCAAGGTGGATTTACAAGGAAGGAAAGCAACATTCATCTCAAGAGCTGTGCAGTCTGAACCAGGTGTGGTGGCTCACACCTGCAATCCCAGCTACTTGGGAGGCTGAGGCCAAAGAATTGCCAAGTTTGAGGCTAGTGTGGAAGGAATAGTTCTGGTAGCCTGGGATACAGTGTGAGAGCCTGTCTCAAAACAAAACCAAAACAGGTGGGGGTTCAGCTCAGTGATAGAGGGCTTGTCTAATTTGCTCTAGGCCCTGGGTTCCAGCCCCAGCCAGTTCCCCCCCCCCAAAAAAAAAACCTTTGTGGTGATGTTTGTCCACTGTCCAGCTGAAGGCAGAAGCAGGCATTGTGTTCTGTTAGTTCCTGCCATCAATCCCTCAAACTGTTGACTGGAGGGCAGTAATTTGACAAATGTAGGGATGGGGGAAGGAGAGCATGAATTCATCTTTTGTTTTAAGTCTCATTTTATTTTATTTATTTATTTTTTTGTTTTATGTGTATGGGTGTATTGTCTGCATGTATGTGAGTGCACCCGTGTCGTGCAATGCCACAGAGGTCAGATTCCCCTGGAACTGGAGTTAAGGATGGTTCATAGCCACCATGTGGGTGCTGTGAATCGAACCCAGGTCCTCTGCAAGAGCAGTCAATGCTCTTAACAGCTGAGCCATCTCTCCAGCCCCCATGAATTCATCTTTGATGCAAGCAAAATACGGTGACAGAGTCAGGAAGATGCCTGTGCATAACTTTGGGGAGAGGCAGTAAATTTTTGAGATAGGGTCTTAATGTAGCTCAGGCTGGGCCTGAGCTTGCTTTGTAGCTGAGGCTGACTTTGAACTCCAGATCCTCCTTCCTCCACTTCCCAAGTGCTGGGACTGTAGTCCTCTATCACCACACTTGGCTGTGTGTGTGACTCTTCTTGTTGAGCCTGAGGTGGGGATGACCCCCCCACCTGGTGGTGACCCTGCCCTCCTGTGTTCCCCAGAACAACCCTCCAGGTGTGCTGGCCCTGCTGGATGAGGAGTGCTGGTTCCCCAAAGCCACTGACAAGTCTTTTGTGGAGAAGCTGTGCTCAGAGCAGGGCAACCACCCCAAGTTCCAGAAGCCCAAGCAGCTGAAGGACAAAACTGAGTTCTCCATCATTCACTACGCTGGGAAGGTACTGACTGGGGGTCTCTCCAGGTGCTGTGTTGCAGGGGAGCCTGGGGTGGGTACTCACAGCAGGGGTACTTTGGCAATGGCTGAGAACACCAAAGACTTGTAGCAAGTCAATTCCCAACTAGATCCCATGTATAAGTTGTCTAAGCATCTGTAAGGGGTAGGATTTAGCATCTCTGATATATGTCAGCTGCAGTGACCAGCTGTTCTTTTGGGGGTAATTCTAAATCCTTCCTGCTACAAGTTGAACCCAAAAGGAAGGACCAACTGGAACGAGGGGACTAATGAGTCTTCTCTGGGATTTACCAAGTATTCCTGCCATTCCGATTTTGCTCCCTCTAGGGGAATCCATAAAAATGTCACCTCCATTATTGTTGCCAACATTGCCATCATCACCATCATGTCTTAGATGTGTGTGTCCTGGACAGTGCAGAAAAGTTATCACTTATTCTGACTTGTGTATTTATTTTATTGAACTCCACCCCGCCCCAGAATCCCCCGCTGTATCATGAGAACAGACAATGTCCCATCCATATGAAGGCTTGGCGGACTACAGCCCAAGGACCATATCTGGTCCACAGCTTGTTTCTGTTAATAAAGTTTTATTGGAGCACAGCCAGGCCCATTTGTTTCCATAATATCTATGGTTGCTTTGGTGCTGTAAGAGCAGAGCAGAGTCATTGTGACAGAGATGGCATGGCCCACCAAACTAAAAACACTTATACTCTATGCTTTTTGCGAAAAGTTTCTCGTCTCCTACCTTATATTCAAGGGAGCTTATGTTCCTTTAAGCATATACCAGTAATGCTTTTCTCAAGCTCCTAAGTATTTTTACCAGTCCCCTTACAGATCAGGCTTAGCCATCACCATATCAGCCCTTATCCCCACATAACCTACCAAAGCTGTGTTGTCAATAAAATTTAAGCATTAGGTAAGTCAAGAATTCCAAAAGACTTTAGTGTCCCCTTTCCTTGTGGCCATATATCAAAACCTCTGAGTTAGTAAGCTGGAGATGTAGCTCAGTGGTAGAGCATGTGCCTAGTGTAGTGGTGAGTTTTAAATGTCAACTTGCTATAACCTAGAATTGTCTGGGAAGAGTCTCAGTTAAGGGATTATCTAGATCAGGGTGACCTGTGGGTATGTCTGTGAGCGATTGTCTTGATTATTAAGGTGGAATGACCCACCCTGAATGTAGGCACATCATTTCATGGGCTGGTACCTGGACTGTGTAGGACAGGAGGAAGCTAGAAGCAGGCAGGCAGCATGGGTGCATGGTTCCCTCTGCTCTTGACTATGGATGTGATGGGACTTGCTGCTCGAGTTCCTGACTTGACTTCCTCAGGGATGGACTGTGACCTGGAAGTATAAACCAAATAAAACCTTTCCTCCCCTAAGTGGCTTTTGGTCAGGGTGTTTTACCACAGCAGCAGAAAAATTAGAACAGTTACTGTGCTTGAAGTCCAAGGTTCAATCCCCACTACTGCAGTAAAATTGATAAAATGAAAATAACCCCTCCAGGCTATAACAGTCACGTTCACCAGACAGTGGGAAAGAGGATCCTGTGCTTAATTAAAAACTAAGATTCTTGCCAAGCTTCCCTGGAATAGGGGGTAGTTGGGCTTTGCCACCGTTACCTTCCTTGGCTATTTCGTGGGTATGGTATAGGGCTCTGACAAAGGAGGTCATCAGAGGAGAGGGCTCCTGTGAGGCTCTGTGGGACACAGAGAGGCTTTTCCAGCAATGGCTACCACTGAATGCTGTCCTACTGTGTGCAGGGTCTATGAAACTCTGACCTGTTTATCTCTTCCTTGGTGTTGATGGGGATTCATCATGGCTGCTGTAAATGTTATTTCCTGTCTGATGTCTGACAGTATGGGAGGGAAAAGGGAGGGTTTGGGCCCTGTGCTGATGGGTGGGGTGGTTCTTGGCAGGTGGACTATAACGCAAGTGCCTGGCTGACCAAGAATATGGACCCGCTGAATGACAACGTGACTTCCCTCCTCAATGCCTCCTCTGACAAGTTTGTGGCTGACCTGTGGAAGGATGGTGAGCCCTTCTTCCCTGGAGGCTGCTTGGAGCTGGAGGAATGAACACCAAAGACCTTTATTGCCTCCTGTTGCCCTAGTTTCCACAAGTGCGCTAGGAGGGGAGGCCCTATGTGGACAGGGGAAAGGACTGGGCTATCATGGGCTAATGCTTTCATGTTGAAATAGCCTTGTCAATACAACACACAAAATTCCCCTCAGAGGGGATAGAAATGTATTCTTAAGCCAAGTGTGAGGGACTATGGCTGAGAAACACAGGTTCATGTTATCCAAATGGAATGCCTCAACAGAGAAATGAAGATTTTATAGTCACAGAATGAAAGGAAGTCATAAATCAAGGCATACTTAGGTACACTGATGGGACCATCAGGAAGGCAACTTAGAGCAAATCTGGAAAACTTCTCCTATAGGTCTCAGATGCTGTCTGATGATATTTGTGGTTTTGGGGGTGTTGGAAGCTGTGATATGCTAAGTTAAAACATTCTGAAATCTTTAACCTGATAGCCACAAGGATATTAGATCAGACACAGAGGTGGGCAAGGAATGGTTATTAAGGAGACTAGAGATAGCCAAAGATAATTTGACTCTGAATCTGCAGCAGTTTAACTCTTCATAACTGTAAACCTCTGATCTGTAGAATCTTTAACATATGACTTTTTTCTGGAAACTTTTGTTCATAGCATCTTCCTAGTTGAGGGATCTGAGCCCTTCCATAACAATCCTGGACCCACAGAGAAGGTCCTGAAATCAGGCCTCAGGATCACTTTTAAGTTTTATTTTTATTTTATATGTATGTTTTGCCTGCCTGTATATATGTACACTCTGTGTGTGCAAAGCCCACAGAGGCCACAAGAGGGCATCAGATCCCCTGGAACTGGAGTTACAGGCCCTGTAAGCTGTCATGTGGGTACTGGGAACCAAGCCTAGATCACCTGCAAAAGCATCCAATGCTCTTCACCTCTGAGCCACTTCTCCAGTCCCCAGCTTGTTATATCCAAAGCTGGGGCGGGGCTGTAGCTCAGTTGTCACAGCACTTGCCTAGTGTGCAGGAAGCCCTGAGCTGGATTCCCAGAACTGCATCAACTGTGGTGATGGCTGCTTCCTTTCCATTCTAAAGAAAGAAAGAACAGAACAAAATAAACAGAAGTACAGTGAGGATTCCAAGGACTTGGCTCTGTGGCGGAGCACTTGCCCAAAGCAAAGGCATCTCTGCTATAATGTAGTGATCCTGCTAATTCCCAGTCTGCCCAGCTCTCACATATGTGCCCAGTTCCTCCTGAGTGCTTGCTTTTTCCTAGAATGTTTTTTCCCCTGGATACTTGTGTATCCATGGAAAGGTGGTGGACCACCATACCCATATGGTCACTTACTTCTGGTCTCTGCTCAGATAGCACCTTATCAGATATATACCCCATCACCCTATCTAAGATCACTCCTCCCCTTCCTCATGTTTCCTCTGCTCTCCCCCTCCTTTTCTCCTTCCTCTCTACTTCCGCCCCCTTCCCTCCCTCTTCCTCCCCTCCCACTCCCCTTCCATTCCATTCCTTCCCTTTCTGTCTCTCTCCCTTTGTCCTTAGTTTTTCTGAGCATACCTGGCCACCTGAGATAGTGCATGCCATTGCCTGCCTCCTTCTGTTAGATACCCACAGCCCAAGAGCTGTGGGTGTGGGGGCTTTGCTGTGTCCCTAGGTACACATGTGGTAGGTTCTCAGTCCCTCCCTGTGGGTGGAGGAAGGATTGAAGGCTGTGAGACAAGGGTTTCCTGTGCTTCTACCCCATTCTTGCCCTAGGGTTAGATGCTGCTACTGCTGCCAATCATTTTTAATGATTCATTTATTTTTATTTTATGTGCATGGGTGTTTTGTTTTTTTTTTCCTGAATGTATGTATGTGCACCATGTACATGCAATGCCCACAGACACCAGAAGAGGGCATTTGATCCCTGAAACTGGAGTTACAGGTGGTTGTTAGCTGTCATGTGAGTGCTGGGAGCTGGTCCTGAGTGCTCTTAACTGATGAGCCACTTTCCTACTCTTAGAGGGGAAAACTGAGGCACAATATGATGCCAGGCCCAGGTTACTTAGACAGCATTGGGAGTGGAACTGGCTTCTGGGTGTCTATGGCAGCAGAGGAAGTTTTCTCTTCCCAGTATTCAGGTGCTCTCAGGGTTACCCAAATTGACACCATGTGAAGGTCCCTCCCTACCCTCTGCTGGAGGTGAAGATACTGACCAGCACAGGGAGGGATGGGGGACTGTACCCCCAGATGGGATCCCAGAGAGTTAACACCTATGCAGGGCACCTCCCTTGACTGTACCTTCACAGCGGGTCCCCTTGCCTGTGATCTAAGACTGATGTCCCGCTTAATGTACCCCACAGTGGACCGCATTGTGGGGCTGGACCAGATGGCCAAGATGACTGAGAGCTCGCTGCCCAGTGCCTCCAAGACCAAAAAGGGCATGTTTCGCACCGTGGGCCAGCTCTATAAGGAGCAGCTGGGCAAGCTGATGACCACACTGCGCAACACCACACCCAACTTCGTGCGCTGCATCATCCCCAACCATGAGAAGAGGGTGAGGCCTCCCCTAGCCCAGAGCTCCTGGCCATGGGGTGGCCTCAGGGGACTACAGGGAGGGGCCTGGGAGGCACTGAGGCAAACAAAGGAGGTAGAAGGCAGAAGAGGTCTGACTTAGGTTCCTGCCTTGAGTGCCCCCAAAGAAAGCCTGTATCTATCTACCACAGGTGGAAAGGTCTGAGTTTGGGGCCTATTTCCTGAGCCTTCAGGCAAAAGAGCAAGAGATTGTTTAGCTTGGGAGTTGTGTAGGTGTGAGACCACATATCCTTTCATCATTCCAGTAAATATTTGCCAAGCTGCTGTTTGTGACTGATGTTTGGGATACAGTGGTGGAGAAATCACTGGAAGACACATTTGACTGTCAGAACTGGAAGGGGTTACCATGGCATCTAGAAGAGAGGTAGATGTCTCCCCGATATACAGCGTTGTTCCCACAACAGAGAATTAACAAGCCCCAAATGTCATTGCTGCTGAGTTTTGGGGATACCCTTCCCTCTCGGAGAACTATGCACTCAGGCTGAAAACCATGATAGTAAATTATGAATACAAAGAGCTAGGGTTGCTGACTCAGCCTTGAGAACTTCACAAAGAATGTGAACTTTAAGGATGGGTAGACAGGCTGGTGAGATGATACAGTGGGTAAAGGCACTTGCCGCCAAGCCTGACAGCCTGAGTTTGATACCTGGGACCCACTTGGTGGAAGGAGAGAACTGACTCCCACAGTTGTCCTCTGACCTACACACACACACACAGTGGCATGCTCACACATGCTAAATAAGCAAATGTCGTAAAAAAGAATGGGTATGTATTAACTTGGTAAAGCACATAGTGAGGTATGTGTGCATACAAGCATGGTGCACTTGTAGAGACAGAAGACAGCCTCTGGTGTCAGTCCTTAGGCATCATTACTATTGTGGCCTAGAGCTCTGCCACATAGGCCAGGTTAGCTGGCCTGTGAGCTTCCTGTCTCTGCCCCTCATCTTGAAATGCTGGGATTACACACACGCACTGTCATGCCTCACACCATCACATATCAATATGAAACAAGGTGGTGGGGGGCTGGGAAGATGGGTCAACCATTAAAGCACTTGCCATCCGTGTGTGAGGGCTGGAGTTCAGAATCCCAGAAACCCACAGAAATCGTGGGAGGGCACGGCAGCCCTGCTTGTAGTTCTAGTCTCAGAAGAGAGACAGGAGATTCTCAGAGCAACCTGGCTGGGGAGATTACTCATATTAGTGACTTTGACTGAGAGGCCCTGCCTCAATGAATAAGGTAGAAGAATGAGTGAGAATGATTCCCAACATCAACACACACACACGGGCAAAACATAAACACACACAACCTGACTATACACTACATTTTTAAAAAAGAAAAAGTGATAAACTCAGAGATTTAGGGGGTACAAGCTGTAGGCTGGATGATGGCCAGGAAGTGAGGGAGAGGGTAGAAAGGAAGCAGCCCCAGTTTCTCGCCAGGAGGTGCTGGTACCGGGAGGAACAGTAGAGATTATTGGACAGATAATGCCAAAGGAGGGAAACCCAGGCATGCCAATGATGGGACACTCTTCCTAGCTGAGCCCTATGAGGGCCCCAGAGACTCACCGGGTGTGTTTTCTGGACCTGAGGCCTGAGGTATGCTGCTCCAGTGGTCACTTGGCTTCTTCTGCCTCCACAGTCTGGCAAGCTGGACGCGTTCCTGGTGCTGGAGCAACTGCGGTGCAATGGTGTGTTGGAAGGTATCCGCATCTGCCGCCAGGGCTTCCCCAACAGGATCGTTTTCCAAGAGTTCCGCCAACGGTGAGCCCGCTGGGGCTGGCAGGGCAGTGTGTAATGGGCCTGGATGGAAGAATGAGCGAAGGGGATGTGTTGGGTGACTTCTGCCCTGTGTTTTAAGCTATGAGATCCTGGCAGCGAACGCCATCCCCAAAGGCTTCATGGATGGAAAACAGGCCTGCATTCTCATGGTGAGCTCAGTCCTGGACCCTCCCTAGACATCCAACTGTGACCTTCCTGCTTTGGGTCACACTGCCAGTAGCTGCTCTGGGTGGGATGGTTCTTACACTTTACTACTGATCAAAGGACCAGTTGAAAGGTGCAACTCCTCTCTTTCCTCCCTCTGCAGATCAAAGCTCTGGAACTCGACCCCAACTTGTACAGGATTGGGCAGAGCAAAATCTTCTTCCGCACTGGGGTCCTGGCACACCTGGAGGAGGAACGAGACTTGAAGATCACCGATGTCATCATGGCCTTCCAAGCCATGTGTCGTGGCTACCTGGCCAGAAAGTAAACATGGTTTCCCACCTCCTAAAACATCCCCCAGATTTATGCCAGAAACAAAATCCAGTCAAGGGGGAGTTCCAGCCCCATGTTGTGACTCCCTGATTCTAAGAAGCCATCTGTTTTAGGATGCGTCCTTGATTGACAGTTGTAGTTGCGAGGAAAGAAACCCTTCCACTGAAACACGTGTGGTTGTAAATGCAGGAAGGGAAGAGCTGTAGCCAGTGGGCTCTAGCACTTTAGACTTTGGTTCTTATCCTTGATTCCTTAGTTGCTCAGGTTTCTCCTGAGCATAATCATTCCATGTCATGGAGGTGTTCGTGAAGTCCATGAAAGAATGCACAAAAGGCCTTTGAAGAGTGGTTATCACTTCAGAGGTGTTAGCCTATGGCAACATGTCTGAGGAAAGACTGTTGGCTCTACCTCTGCTCCTATGTCCAAATGGGATTCATAAAGTAGAACTTCAGGGGCTGGAGAGATGGCTCAATGGTTAGGAGCACTGGCTGCTCTTGCAGAGGACCTGGGTTCAGTTCCCAGCACCCACATGGTGGCTAACAATCAGGTGTAACTACAGTTCCAGAGGATCTAATGCCCTCTTCTGATCTCCGTGGGCATTGCCCGACGCGGGTACACTTACATACATGCAGGTATTATACTCATACTACATAAAATAAAATGAAAATAATTAAGAAAATATTTTGTAAAAAGTAGGATTTCAGACATTGTAATGGCCCATCTGTTCTGCTTGGGAGACTAGGTAAGAGTTCAGATTCCTCAGTGAGAGACACCCCAAAAAGAACCACAGGAATGGTGAATTCTGGAGTGTGTGCTATCTCTGAGTATAGATCACACTTCATCTGCAGAGGCCTGACCGGGTCAAGCTGATTATCAGATGGACTCAAGATAGTTAATGGTAGATTTCAGGAGCTCTTGGTCTAGCATCAGACCCAATTTGTTAAGTTTCAACACTAAATTCTGTTGCCATCATTCCTGTCTCCAAAATAACTATTAGTGTTTATTCTTTTTTTTTTTTTGTCTTTGAGGCAGGGTCTCCCTGTAGCCCCAGCTGGCTAGCCTGGCACTTGCTATGTAGACCAGGCTGGCCTCGATCTCACAGAGATCCATCTGCCTCTGCCTCCCAAGTGCTGGGAACTAAAGGCATGCACCACCATGCCTGGCATTACTATTTTATTCTTAAGTGTACCCACAGCCAAGATAGCAACCAACAGACATGGCAGCCAACATGTCAGAAGGGGCTTGGATCTGTGTTCTGTCCTTTTTCACACTCAGAAGTCCTTAAAGAATATAGTGTTGGTTTGGTATTAAAGTCTAAGATTTCTGAAATACTACGAAGGAACAAATAGGTTTGTCAGAAACTCAGCTGATACAACTAGGGGTGTGAAAGATCCCTGTAGGAATCATAGAACATACTCTATTTCTTAGATGTTATTTCCACCTAGGATTCTGGGGTGTTTTGTGAGCCTTGAGTCTCCCATGCCTACTGAGAAAGGCTTTCAGAGTCACCTGAAGGGGCTGAGCCCATATAATATGCTTGTGTTGACGTTTAGAAAGATCCTGGATGGAGGGAATGGGAGATGTCCTTGCAGGGAAGGGTGCCTCAGACTGTAAGGAAGTATGCTTGGCCAGCTGGCGTTCCTCACGGCTCCCTATCACTCTCCCCAGGGCCTTCACCAAGAGGCAGCAGCAGCTGACAGCCATGAAGGTGATCCAGAGGAACTGTGCCGCCTACCTCAAGCTCCGCAACTGGCAGTGGTGGAGGCTCTTCACCAAAGTGAGCATCTGTTTCCACTCCTTTTCAGAAGCCACCTGACCTTCTCCAGCCCCTTGGGCTCTAGATGTGGAAATGGAGGTGGTCCAAGAGGCTCTGGAGCTGAGAGCCTGAAGTCAGACCTTACATGCTGGTGACTCTCCAGAACCCATAAGGTTCTTTGGCTTGTGAGTGACAGCCATGACCCTAAGGGAGATCATGGAATTTGTCTCACCTCAAGGACCCCTCTTACTGCCCCGTGTAGCAAAACCACTTCTCTGTGCAGCCCCTGGCAGCCACTCTTCTGCCTCCCTTTCTGTGCCTCCATCTCAAGAACTCTATGTACAAGAACTCTATGTACGTGCTGCCTTTGGGGATTGGCTCTTTCCATTCAGCACGATTAAGTGGGGCGCCCCCTCCCCAGCTTGTTGCATAATTGGCAACTCATTTTTTTCCCCACGATTGGCAATCAGGGTCTTTTGGCACCACTGGCTTGTGCATTGTCACTGGATCAACATATTGGTTGCACAAGGACTTTCACTGGCTGTTGACTGGGATTCCCTTATGTGCCCTGGAGTATGTAAATTGGCACACATCTTTTTCTCTAAGGAAGTATTATTGAGTGCCTGCTGTGTGCCTGGTGTGTGCCAGGTGCTGGTGATACAGCTATGAATGGGCATCATAGCCTCTGGTTTCATGAATATTCCAGCAAACTGGAAGAGCAGGTGGTAAACAGACACAGGACCAGATAGTGTCAAGTCATGCTAGGCGCACAAAAGGAAGCCATGGGTTTCATTGGCATGGGCCGGGGGTGCCAGGCAGGGGCATGACAATAGGGAGTGGGACAAGCTGGAAATAATAAAACTGAGGGGTATCTGCTTTCTGAAAACATCCACCACGAACCCAAACTCTGAGACACTATCCGGAGAAAGCTGCCTTCCATAAAGGAAAGCCAGAACCCAGACCCTCTTTGTGCCTTTTTAACAATGGCGACATTTCCTCAGCAGACTCACTGACTCGCTCCTCAAAGGGAAGAACAGTTCAGCTGCTAAAAACAAATGAGGTTGTACAGACTGATGAACAGCACAGAGTGAGAAACAACTTGTGACTTTAAATGATGAAAGCAGAATATAAAAGCAGGCATGAGTTTGAGACTAGTTTTTAGACATAGGAAAAAAGACTGGAAGGAAACGCCCAGCCTGGCAGTGACTCTGATAGGGAGACAGCCAGTGAAGGCATTCTCCCCTTGCAAAGAAGCGTGGCCATCTCCAGTAATAGTGTCTCTTGGCTCTTTGTCCTTTCATTTTGTTCTAATAAGGTGCTCTAAGAGTTCCTTAGGGCTGGAGAGACATCTCAGCAGGTAAGAGCATTGGCCGTTCTTGCAGAGGACCTGGGTTGGGTTCCCAGCACCCACATGGTGGCTAACAACCATCCATAACTATAGTTTCAGGGGATCCAACGCCCTCTTCTGGCCTCCATGAGCATTGCATGCCCAGGAGCACTGACATGCAAGCAAAACATTCCTCCACATAAAAATAACTAAACAAAAATTAAGAGTTCCTTGGACTGATGTCATTCAGTGATAGAGTGTTTGCCTAGTGTGCAGACAGCCCTGGGAGTATCTCCAGCACTGCAGAAATGAAGCAACAAAGGTCCCTCACCCTGACTGTTAATGGTCTGGACTCTGTAATCCTGTGTTGTGAGTTGTCCTGTGTATTTTAGGAGCATCCCTGGCCTCTACCTACTAGATGCTAGTAGAACTCACTACCCAAGATGCAACAACAAACAATGTCCCTGACATTGCCCAGTGTCGCCTAGATGGGTGTTGGGAAAATAGTCCACCCACACTCCTGTATGACAAGAATGGGTCTCTGGCCACACACACTAATGATGGCTGTCTACACATATGTAGGTGAAGCCATTGCTCCAGGTGACGAGGCAGGAGGAGGAGATGCAGGCCAAGGAGGAGGAAATGCAGAAGATCAAGGAACGGCAGCAGAAGGCAGAGACAGAGCTGAAGGAGCTGGAACAGAAACACACGCAGGTATGGAGAGGCCTGCAACTGGGACTGAGGGGCCAACAGCTCAGCCAACAGTGAGACCTGGGTTCTCTCATTGGCTACCTCCCACCCCTCCACAGCTGGCTGAGGAGAAGACCCTGCTTCAGGAGCAGCTGCAGGCAGAAACAGAGCTGTACGCAGAGGCTGAGGAGATGCGTGTGCGGCTAGCAGCCAAGAAGCAGGAGTTGGAAGAGATCCTGCATGAGATGGAGGCCCGCCTGGAGGAGGAGGAAGACCGAGGGCAGCAACTGCAGGCTGAGAGGAAGAAGATGGCCCAGCAGATGCTGGTAAGATGTGGCAGGGGCAGGTAGTGGAGGGGATAGCATCACTGGACCCAGGACTAGAGAGATGGCTCAGCAGTTAAGAGCACTGGCCACTCTTGCAGAGGTCCTTGGTTTGGTTCTCAGCACCCACATGGTGGCTAACAACCATCTGCAACTCTAGTTCCAGGGAATCTGGTGCCCTCTTCTGGCCTTGGTGAGCATTGTGTGACATGGGTGCACTTACATGCATGCGGACAGAATATTCATACACATAAAATAAAAGTCAATAAACCAAAAAAGAATCACTTGATCCTCAGTGCACATATATGATGATACATTGTCCCTGCTGCTAGAGGATGAAGAGACTAAGGCTAGGAGGATGGCCATCTGCCCCAGGCCACAGAACTAGAACAGGGACTGAACACAGGTTTCCTCAAGAGCCTGCTTTGTCTTACTCTCCCATCACCTGTATGCTGATACCCTTCCTCCTGTCGGCAACCTGGTGTGTAAGGTAATTATATTTGATAGCTATCATTGTGTAACAAAACAGGCCAGATGTAGCAGCTTGACACAGTCCATATTTATCTCAGTAGTCAGGAACTAGGAAAGGGCTGGGTAGCTCTGGTTCAGGGTCACTCCTGAGGTTGGCAGTCAAGATGTCAGCCAGACCCAGTCATTGGAAGGCTCAACTGGACTGGAGAATTGACCTCTATGTGGCTCACTCTCATGACCGTTAGCAGGTGGCCTCAGCACCACAGCCTGTAGAATGTTCCATGGAGCTGCTTGGGCTTCCTCATGACATGGCAATGGGCCACCCCCAGAAGTAGGAGGGAGAAAGGCATGATGTCTTTTATGGTCCATTCCTCAGAGGTTACAATCTCATTTCATTTGGGTTGGGTTGAGTCCTAAGCTCCACCCACACTCAAGGGACAGGGAAGTAAACTCTGCCTCTGGAAGAAATAAGCATCAAAGAATGTGTAGAGTATGGCACCCACTCCCACGGCTGAGCAAGGCAGAGTAGCCCACAGGAGCCTCCCTCTCCCTCTTTCTGAAGGAGACCACAGTGCAGGGCCTCCTCAGGCCTCTGCAGTGGTTGGCCCCAGTCTCCCCTAGTGATGTCATTCCTTTCTCTCACCAACAAAGGACTTGGAGGAGCAGCTGGAGGAGGAGGAGGCTGCCAGACAGAAGCTGCAGCTCGAGAAGGTCACAGCTGAGGCCAAGATCAAGAAACTGGAAGATGACATCTTGGTCATGGACGATCAGAACAACAAGCTGTCAAAAGTGAGTGGTGGAGGGCAGAGCCAGGTGGCTTCAAGGTAAAGGCACTTACGCCAAACCTGATGAACCCGGGATCTCCACATGGGTGAGAGAAACGACTCTTACAGGTTGTCCTCTGACCTCCACATGCACACTATGGCATACATACAAACACATACATACACAATTGGGGAGGGGGACTGTGACATGCATACAAACAAACATAATAAGTAATAAATTTAAAAAGTATTTATTTTGGGCTGGGCGTGGTGGCGCACGCCTTTAATCCCAGCCTTCAGGAGGCAGAGGCAGGCGGATCTCTGTGAGTTCAAGGCCAGCCTGGTCTACATAGTGAGTTCCAGGCCAGCTGGGGCTACAGGGAGACCCTGTCTCAAAAAGACAAAAAAAAAAGTATTTATTTTTATTTTATGTGTATGAGTGTTTTGCCTGCATGTATGTAAGTGTACCCATGCCATACAATGCCCATGGAGGCCAGAAGAGGGCATCGGATCCCCTGGAACTGGAGTTCTAAGTGGGTGCTTGGAACCAAACCAAGGTCCCCTGCAAAAGCAGCCAGTGCTCTTAACCACTGAGCCAGGTTTCCAGCCCCTAAAAAAATTTTTTTTTTAAGCAAGCGGGGTGGAGTTTGTGCATTACACGCCAGGCTCACCCAGGGCACAGTACATCCAGTACCAAAGGCAGAAGCATCCTGCCCAAATGGGGACAAATGGTCACTTTGGTTAGTAATCATGAGCCAGCTGCACTGAGGATAGGGTTCTTTCATTCAAGCTGGTATCAGCTGGGCCTCTCCTGCGGGCTAGGCCCTGTGTAGATGCAGAACACGCATGGAGCAGGAGGGTCTTGCCTTTTGGACAACTTACATTCTAGTGGGAAGCAGGTAGCCATTACCATTGTGACCAGAGCTCTGAAGATGTTCATCTGTTAGAAGGGGATCATTGGGGGATGGAGAAGGGGAGTCAGGGAAGGCTTCCTGGAGGAGGTGACATTTAAGTAGAAACCTATGAATTGTGAAACAGTTAGAAATGAATAGTTGGCCCACTGTGCAAAAGCCCTGAGGCAGAGACAAGCTGTCACGTGGTAGAAATGGGAAGGTCCCTTTAGCTGAACACGAGTGTGCAGAACAGAGTGGCATGAGTGAGAAGTACCAGCCCAGAGGCTCGTAAAGAGTCCTCCACCATGCAGAGGCTTCTCTGTCAACTGTTCACATAGAAATTGCCAAAAGTAGAACAAAGATTGTGAAGGGAAAATAAAAAGCTACCGCAATTTCTTTCTCTGTCCCCAAAGGAACGAAAGCTTCTTGAAGAGAGGGTTAGTGACCTGACGACAAATCTAGCAGAAGAGGAAGAAAAAGCCAAGAACCTCACAAAGCTGAAGAACAAACATGAGTCCATGATCTCAGAGCTGGAGGGTAAGCGGGCTACAGGAGAGGGCTGGGAGGGCAGGAGAGAGCCAGGCAGGAGTCAGCAGGAGAGGGGTCAGCCGAGAAAAGAAAAAGGATTGCAGGTCACAATGGAGCTTTCTCAACTGTAAATGGGATGAAGTCTGGCCATTCCCAGGGAGATGGATGGACCTGGAGATCACACACTACATGAAATAAGCCAGGCCCAGAAGACATATTTCCTCTCAAATGTGGAATTGAGATTTTATGTTTTATTTTTCTGTTTTCTTTTTAAAATTACTTTCACTTAGGTATTGTGGGTGGGCAGGACAGGGTGATTGCTACAGTACACAAGTGGAGGTTGGCGGACAACCTTGTGGAGTTGGTTCTTGCCTTCCCTCGTCCTGTGGGTGGGACTCAGGTGTCCGTCTTGGTGGGATGTGCTCTTGCTGAGTCATCTCATCTGTCCTATTTTATTTTATTTTATTTTATCTTATTTTGTGAGACAGAGTTTCATGTAGCCTAGGCTGGCCTCAAGCTTCCTATGTAGCGAAGGTTGGCCTTGAACCCCTGATCCTCCTGCCTCTACTTCCCAAATGCTGGGATTATAGGCATGTGCACCACATCCAGTTTATACAGTGCTGAGGATAGAACCCAGGGCCCTTGTGCATACAAGGCAAGTACTCTCTCAACCGAGCTACATCCCTAGCCCTGAATGTAGATTTTTAAAAATATAGACATTGGGACTAGAGAGATGGCTCAGCAACTAAGCAGCATACTGCTCTTGCCGAGGACCCAAATTCAGTTCCTAGCACCCATATCAGGTGACTCACAACTGCCTGCAACTCCAGCTCCAGGGGGATCCAACACTTCTGGCCTCCATGGGCATCTGCACTCATGTTCAATTACTGCCCCCCATACATGTATAAGTATACCTAATTAAAACATGTATAAAAAAATAAGGGGGCTGGAGAGATGGCTCAGTGGTTAAGAACACTGACTGGTCTTGCAGAAGACCCAGGTTTGAATCCCAGCACCCACATGGCAGCTAACAACTGTCTGTAACTCCAGTCCCAGGGGATCCGACAGCCTCTTCTGTCCTCCGTGGGCATTGCATGACACAGGTGCACTTACCTATATACAGGCAATACAATACACACATACACATAAAATAAAAATAATTAAAACATTTAAAAATAAGTCTTTGAAAAATAGACATATAAGACATGAAAGTTAAAAGGAGGTTATGTGGGAGAGAAAGGGTGTAAGGGAGGAATACGTGGGGGGCAGAGGTGAGGGGAGAGGAAGGGGAAAGTAGAAAGGGGCCTATTTGGGGAAAGGGGACCAGCTGAAGAGGGGAGGGGAGACAAGAGGAGTTTGGATCCTAACACCCACATTGGGCCACTCACAAATGCCTGTAACTCCAGCTCCAAGGAGTCTTCTGCCTTCTTCTGACCTCCAAGGATACCCTCACACACATGTATGAATACACTCCGCAGACACATACACACACATACATAAAATAATTCTTTTTTGTAAATTTTTAATTGAATTTTTGTGTATTTCATACAGAACATCTTAATCTTAATCATCTTTATACCTCCATCCCCACTGGCAGCCTCCCATAGCCCCCACCCCACTGGAATTCATACATAATTCATGCATTCTGTCATTTGTGTTAAGGCCTATTGTGTCAAGTTAGTGTCCCCAGACATCCCTCAGTGCAAGTTCATCCACTGAGGTCTAGGCAGCCTATCTAGAGTCACTACATTTAAGAAGATCAGCTCTTCCTCACACAGCAGTAAGTAATTAGCTACCAATAATTCTTTGACTAAGATTGGGGCTTGTTGCCCATTTCCACAGTTCTGTGCTGGGGTTTTGTCTGCTTGAGTTTGCATAGGTCTTGTGCATGCTGACACCATTGCTGTAGGTTCATATGAGCAGGGTCCCAGGAGCTTGGAGGGCTCTATTTCTATATGGTCGAGCACCTCCTCCCTGGCTCTTACAATCTTTCCACCTCCTCTTCCACAAGGGTCCCTGAGCTCTGGTGGGTGGAGTTTAATATAAGAATCCTGTCCAAGGACCCACACTGGAGATTCTTTCTTTCCATGCTTTGGCCATTAGTGACCTTTTGTGTTCCTGTCCTTCTGGTGCATGAGAGAGCTCCACTGATGAGAACTGAGAGATGCATTAGTGTCCTCTTTACCCCTTGTTCTATGTTCTGTGAGCCTTAGGTGTAGAGGTTGCATTGTAGATGTGCCACTTATGCTTGGGCAATTCATAGACAATGTCTGTGTGTGACCAGTTGTGAAACTCTGTAATAGTCTCCATCTGTTGCAAAAGAAGTTTCTTTGCTGAGTCACTAGTGACTGGGATACTTATCTGTAAATACAAGGATACATATTTTGCACATTGTAAGAAATTATATTTGTCTAAGGATGTGACAGTCTTGGGGTTTTCTCTAAGTAAAGACCTCTCTAGCCATGTGTCTTTGGCTATGTTTACAGTACCATAGGAGTTTCCTCCCATTGAGTGGGCTTTAAGTCCAATTAGGTAGCTGTTGATTATCCCCAAAATAAAAGTGCCACTACTGCACCCATGTCATTTGCTGTGCTGGTCATCAATGTGGCTATTAGGCCTTGAAGCTGGAGTTGAACCATTGATTGATGTTCTCCCTTAGCAGCTTGCATAGTGCTCTCCAAAGCTATGAGAGCTAGCCCTCAGGGAGGTGGCTTCCAGGTCAGTTCCAGCTCCATTGCTCTAAATTCTGTGTCTGAAGTATGTCCTGTCTTCAACAATAGGGTCTTAACCTTCAAATTCTGGGAGGCGATCAAGGACTACAGCAATTGTCTGTGTAATTTTGGGAGTCTCTTGGACTACCCTGGCCAACAACTCAAAGGAAGGTTTCCCCTGTTTGGTACTGTTTCTTGTTATGTAGCCTTTAGCTATACACAAGGACTCATGTAGAGATATTGTATGTGTAATTTGTCCATAGGTTTTTGGACTAATATAATTCCCTCTGTTTTTTTTTTACACTAGCTAGGCATTATTTGTCTCTCTTCTCTCTTTCCCTGTCTAACCCTCCATCCACACAGTCCCTCTTTTTTATATATATTTAAGATTTTCATTTTATATATATGAGTATATTTCCTGCATGTATGTGAGTGTACCCATATCATGCAATGCCATGGAGGTCAGAAGAGGGCGTCAGATTCCCCTGGAACTGGAGTTAAGGATGGTTCGTAGCCACCATGTGGGTGCTGGGAATTGAACTTGGGTCCTCTGCAAGAGTGCTCTTAACCACTGAGGCATCTCTCCAGCCCCCACGCCCTTCCTCTTTAAAGTATCCCCATTTTCCCCATTTCTCCCTTGATAATACCAGTATCTTATGGTCCCACCTCTCTTGAGTTCCTTCTTCCCCTTTATCCCTAGCTCCTTGTATAACCCTCCCTCCCCCTCCCATTTAAATACCCCCATTTTACCCATTTCTCCCTTGGTAACACCTGTCTCCTACTGTTCTTCTCCCTCAGGCTCCTTCTTTCCCATTACCTCCCTGGTTCCCTTCCATTTTCCTGGTTCCTGAAGTTACATCAAGATATGTGCTCACATATAAGGATTTGGTGCTAGAGTCCATAAATGAGAGAACATATGTCATTTGTTTTTCTGAGTCTGTATTGCTTCACTTAGTATAACAGTTTCTAGTTCCATCCATTTACCTGCAAATTTCATGATTTCATCTTTCTTGACTGCTGAGAACTCCATGTGTAAATGCACCACATTTTCATTATCCACTCGTCAGCTGATGAACATTCATGTTGCTTCCATCTCTTAGCACCGTGCAGAGGCCAGATTCAAGGACTCATGGGCAGTCTGCAAAGATCTGGGCCCCTACTAAAGGGCAGAGAAGCCTAGCCCTGCAGCAGAAGGGGGCCAATATAGGGGGACTGGCCAATCTGGGAGGCTTACCACCTCCAGGAGGCTGGATTCAGGCACAGGCAGTCTGCAAAGGTCTCAAAATAATCCTTTTTAAGAAAAACCAACTAATAAACCAGGAAAATCAGGAAGGAAATCTGAGAAAGGCAGATGATTCTGGGCAAGTGAGTCTCCATTTGGGCTCCAACATCTGCCCAGCACACCCTGGTGATAAAGGTGCCTTTCCCAGGTCCGACTTTCCTTCTGTGGGGCCAGGGTCAGGCAGGGGCTGAGGATTGCAGGCAGGGTGTGTGTGTCCAGAGCCGGGGCAGAAAGGCCTAGGTCAGGTGTCCTGCTGGTGGCATCTCCCACTGAGGCAGCCTGGCTGTGTTGCAGTGAGGCTGAAAAAGGAGGAGAAGAGCCGGCAGGAGCTGGAGAAGCTGAAAAGGAAGCTGGAGGGCGATGCCAGTGACTACCACGAGCAGATCGCTGACCTGCAGGCGCAGATCGCAGAGCTCAAGATGCAGCTGGCCAAGAAGGAGGAAGAACTGCAGGCGGCCCTTGCCAGGTAGTTGCCACCAGGGTGTCGCAGTGTGGCCAGAGGTGCCCTGCTGATCATCCTGGCTTCCAGGACCAGGCCTCCTGCGGACCTCCCCTTCAGGGTTCTAACCCCTAAACCTCACCTTCCACTTGCCTTTTCCCCCAAAACGCATTTTGTCTGCAGTCTCCCCATGCCCATGAGGTTGCAGCATCTGAGTGCCCAGGCTTTCTACACCCTAGTTTAAAGTCAGTTACCCACATTGTCCAACTCTATCACAAATGCCCCATCTCTACTCTGGGGTGGCCCTCCTCTTCCCCAGCCTGCTCTCGCGGAAGTCTTTCTGCATCTGCTGGCTTCTTCCCTACCTTCTTTTCCTCCCTCTCCTCTTCCCCCCACACAGCACTCCTCCTCCCTCTCCTCTCCCCCCCCACAGCATTCCTCCTCCCTCTCCTCCTCCCTCTCCTCCCCCCCCACAGCACTTCTCCTCCTCCTCCTCTCCCTCCTCCCTGTCCTCTTTCCCACACACAGCTCCCAAGTCCCCTGTCCTGTGAGAGACACCCTGCCTATTCTCTCTTTTATTCCTGGGTTCACAGCTGTCCTTGTCCAGGAAAATCACAGTAGCAACTGGTGACAGTAATCTCCCTGGTTGTTCTGTGCTAAGCTCATCCACAGCAGTGTCTCCAGATGCTTGGCCGGGTATGGTACTCTTCCCCCACTTCTCTGCAGAGATGAGCAGGAGCCTGGTCGTGCTGCTTCTAAGAGGCAGAGCTAGGGCTTGAGATGTTCTGATGGGCCCTCTGGTGCCCCTTCTCCCCTTCTCTCTCCCCTGCTTGTGGATGGCTACTGTAAAGCATCATTCACCGCTCTCTCTTGCTAGAGGTGTCATGCATAGCATCAAAGGGCCCCTCGACCCCGTATCTGGGCTTTCCCATCCAGCATGGTCAAATCTGGTATCAAAGCCAGGTGTGGTAGTACACACATATAATCTCAGCACTTGGGAGGCTGAGGCTGGAGGATCACAATTTCAAGGCCAGCCTGGGTTACAGAGTGAGTTTGGGACCAGCCTGGACTATATAAACAAGACCTTGTTTCAAAAACAAACAGAAAACAGATGTAAGCTCCACCATGCTCCAGGACAGAGCTCTCCTTCCACTGAAGTCCTGTAGTACTCTGTCATTCGGCGGCACTTCTCATGCCCCATCTTGGTCCCTGGTCAGTGCTTCCACCAGATTGGGAGCTTTGGTTTTAATATTGCTGAGCGCATTTGAGCAAGGGCTTAACATGGAAGGCACCCGTTTACCCACTGGACAAATGAAAGGACAGAACTGTTTAAAGTTCAGAAAGCATCTATCAAGGGTTGGGATGTGGCTTACTGATAGTGAACTTGCCTAGCATGCAGAGGCCCAGCACCACAAAAAATGTATGTGCACACATGTATATACGCATGCAGACACAGCAAAAACAGCATCTTTAAGCACCACTGTGAATGAGGCACTTTGCTACTCTGGGTTGCTTTATATTCACACATAAGCTTAGATATACAAACACTGTGTTTTAGGCTATCCTGGAACCCATTATGTAGCTCAGGCTAAACTGGACCTCTCAGCAACCTTTTTTGCCTCAGCCTCCCCAGTACAAGGATCAGAGATATGGGCCCCCACACCCAGCTCCTTTTGTTGTTTTCATTTTTTACTTTTTTAGAGACAGGGCCTCACTATATATCCCTGGCTAGCCTGGAACTTGAGGTCCTCTTGCCTCAGTCTCCCTAGTACAAGATCACAGATATGGGCCACCACACCCAGTTCCAGCCTACTTTTATACAGCACCTGGTACCCTCATCCCTTGCAAATCTCCAAGATATCCGGCATAGTAAGAAGCAGTCCCTCTTGTCTTGGGGACATGGAAAGAATATATTGTGACATCCTTGGGACACAAGAGACCACAACAACACTGTTTTCAGTGGCATTTCGAGGGCCTGGGCTATGGAGTTTAACACTGAGTAGGCCTGAGCTGTGGGGTCTAACCCTGAGTGCCCCAGCCTAGGCTGTGAGGTCTGACCCTGAGCCCTGTCTGCTGCAGGCTGGACGATGAGATTGCGCAGAAGAACAATGCCCTGAAGAAGATCCGGGAGCTGGAGGGCCACATCTCAGACCTACAGGAGGACCTGGACTCTGAGCGAGCTGCTAGGAACAAGGCTGAGAAGCAGAAAAGAGACCTGGGGGAGGAGCTGGAGGCGCTGAAGACAGAGCTGGAGGATACGCTGGACAGCACAGCCGCTCAGCAGGAGCTCAGGTACGAGAGGCTGTGGCCTCACAGAGGGGAGGCACAGCAAGGCCGCCCATTCCAGCAGATCCAGAATCCCGAGATGTTCCTCTCCCATTCCCTCACCCACTCACCTTCTTGGCTGCATTTCCTTCAAATGACTACATCTTTAATTTTTTTTAAATTTATTTCATTTTTATGTGTATGAGCGTTATGCCTGCATAACACCATATAGGGCAGTACCCATGGAGGACAGAAGAGGGTGTCGGATCCCTTGGAACTGGAGTTATGGACAGTTGTTAAGCTGCCCTGTGGGTGCTGGGATTCAAATCTGAGTCCTCTGCAAGAGTAGCCAGTGCTCTTAACTGCTGAGCCATCTCTCCAGCCCCTCAACTACACCTTTAAATATTTTTTAATTTTAATTTTTTATGCATATGAGTATTCTGCCTGCTTGTATGTATGTGTGTTATGTGCATGCCTGGTGCCCAAAGAAGCCAGAAGAGGGTGTTTGATCTCCTGGAGCTGGAGTTCAGATGGCTGTGAGTTGCCTGGTATAGGTCTTGGGAACCGAATCCAAGTCCTCTAAAGAGTAGCCAGTGCTCTCGATCATTGGGCTGCCTTTCCAGTCCTGCCATGCACATATTTTAGCTTCCTCAGCTGTAAAATGGAAATAACGTCCCTGCCTTGTAGAGTTGCTCTGTGGATTAGATGATGTATAGGAAAAAGCACAGGCCAACCTGGCCACAGTGACTCATGCCTGTGATCCAAACACTTAGGAGGTTGAGACAGGAGGATTGTGAGCTTGAGGCCAGCCTGGGCTATGTAGTGAGACCCCCCATCTCGAGGGGGAAAAAAATCCTAGGGACTAAAGAGATGGCTCAGAGATTAAAAGCACTGGGCTCTTGCAGAGGACCTGGGTTTAGCTCCTAGCCACCCACACGGTGGCTAATAACTGTAACTTCAGTTCCAGGGGATCCAATGCCCTCTTCTGGCCTCTGCAGGCATGGCACACATGTGGTGCACTTACGTGCATGCAGGCAAAACACTCATACACATAAAATAAAAATAAATAAATTTTTAAAATAAAAATAATAAATCTTAGCTCAGGGCCTGGCATGAAGACGAGGCAATGTTAGTATCTGAGAAACATTTAGATCACATACACCATCTTCCTCATAGTTTGCACTTTTGTTTGCCAGCCTTGAGAAAGGTTTTGGGCTGGTAATATTTTCCCTATTTTGTAGTCAAGACAATTCCAGGGCCAGATGGGTTAGGCTAATCACTCAGGGTCACCTAGCAAGGGAGGAGTGGTCATGGGCCTTGAGCTCTGTGTCCTGGGAGAGCTCTGTTCCCTTTGCACAGTACCGTTGCAGGTAAATCGTCCACCTGAGTGCCACCTACTGTGTGCTTTTGCCCAGGGCGAAGAGAGAACAGGAGGTAACAGTGCTGAAGAAGGCCCTGGACGAGGAGACGCGATCCCACGAGGCCCAGGTCCAAGAGATGAGGCAGAAACACACGCAAGCAGTAGAGGAACTCACGGAGCAACTGGAGCAGTTCAAAAGGGTACTTACTGAGCAGGCTCAGGAGATGCCCAGAAACAGCCATGGGCCAGCCATGTCCAAAATTCTGAAATCTGATATACTCTAAAATCCAGAACTTTTTGTGCATTACGAGTAGAAAATCCTACCCTGGAACTCATGAGATGGGTCAAAGCCAGAACACAGGTGCACCAAGATAGTCTATAAAATTATCTTCAGGCTGTGTTGTGTGGACAGGTATGAAAAGTAGGTTAATCATGTTTAGTCTGAGTCCCATGGCCCTATCCCCAAGTTGTTTCTTTACATACAAGTGCGAATATCCTGCACTGTAAGACGTGAGATTCAAAACTCATTTAGATAAAATGTAGCCAAGACACCTTTAGGGAACTCTGGAATGAGCTTGAGTGGGCTCTGGGCACCAGTCCTCGCAGCGCTGGCTAAAGTAGCCCCCTGCCTATTTTTTCCCCCAAACACTTGTATCCTCAGACAATTATCTACAGGAGCTGTTTGGGTAAAATAGCCTGATCACAGAAACAACAGGGAAAATTTGACAATAAATGTGAAAGACAATAGGGAGTGGTACGGATTGGGGCCAAATGGATGGGACTGCTCCATCTCTCTGCAGGGTAGCCACTGCCTAGATCTGGCTGATTTTTGCCTTGGAGAAAGATAAGACCTGTCTCCAGACCTTTAATTTGTTCCTTGAAAGTTAGAATTATTAAACTTGTACAGTTAAACCAGCAATTTTTTAACTTACTTTTTTTTTTTTTTTTCGAGATAAGGTCTCATTTTATAGCTTATGCTGGTCTGGATCTCACGGTGATCCTCCTGCCTCAGCTTCCTAAATGCTGAGATTATAGGTGTGAGCCACAATTCATTCTCATTCTCTCTCTCTCTCTCTCTCTCTCTCTCTCTCTCTCTCTCTCTCTCTCTCATTTAATCTTTTGAGACAGGGTCTCACTAGTTAACTCAAGCTGGCCTAAAATTCATGATGTAGCTGGGGCTGGCCTCAAACTTGTGATTTTCCTGCCTCGGGCTCCTGAGTGCTGGAATTTCAGGCGTGTGCCACCATACCTGGCTAAATTCAATTTTAAGTGTCCACTTCAATATGTTTTGACAGATGGGGGCATCTGGGTAAACAGTGCCATCCATAGTCATGATGTAGAACATTGGTTTTTGTTGTTGTTGTTGTTGTTGTTTTTTGTCTTTTTGAGACAGGGTCTCCCGTAGAACATTGGTTTTTGTTGTTGTTGTTGTTGTTGTTGTTGTTTTTTGTCTTTTTGAGACAGGGTCTCCCTGTAGCCCCAGCTGTCCTGGAACTATGTAGACAAGGCTGGCCTTGAACTCACAGAGATCCGCCTGCCTCTGCCTCCGAGTGCTGGGATTAAAGGTGTGCACCACCAGCCCAGCAGAACATTGTTTTTTAAGACAGAGCTTCGAATCCAGGTTTTCATGTAAAATTTACTAGAATTTGCTAACTCATACAGTACAGGTCACAGGGACACAGAAGCAGGTGGATGGGGCTCCACCCAATTTTTATAATTCCTATGAATTAGGAACACAGAATTCCAGAAGTCCTGCTAAGTTCTGTGCTCCTCTTACCTCCCTTCCCTGGGCTATGATGGGACTGAGGGTTGGGAGGAGAGGAGAGGAGAGAAGAGGAGACAGGCCCCGCCTCCCTCTGCTTCCCTGACCAGGCCAAGGCGAATCTGGACAAGAGTAAACAGACGCTGGAGAAGGAGAACGCAGACCTGGCAGGAGAGCTGCGTGTCCTGGGCCAGGCGAAGCAGGAGGTGGAGCACAAGAAGAAGAAGTTGGAGGTGCAACTGCAGGATCTGCAGTCTAAGTGCAGCGACGGGGAGCGCGCCAGGGCTGAGCTCAACGATAAGGTTCACAAGCTGCAGGTAAGGGTGGCGACGACAATCCTGGGCACCAGCTCGCCAGCAAGACCAGCTCTGCTCAAACACCTGCAGCCCCTCTGACTGCCAGCAAGTTGGCTTCCCCCGGGATAGTCTCCCTGTGCAAACCCACCTTGTAAAAACCTTCGTGCATACATTCAAGCATCATTTATCAAGTACTTGCTGTATGCCAGGCATTGTGCTTGATCCTAAACTCTAAGAGCAAGGAAAAGACAGACACTGACGTCCTTGTTCCGGTGGAACTCCAGCCTGGTGGGGCAGGGGAATGATCACATACATAGATAATAAAATCACAAGGAGAGACACTTAATACTGTAAGTGCAACTACATGATGGCTTAGTCTGGGGTGCAGGGGGTAGGGGTAGGGAATGGCTGCCCTTGGGAGGACTCAGACTCAGATGCACACATGTAAATCTTCCAAGCAAAGGAGATGATAGCATGTGCAAAGGCCAGGTAGTAAGTGGGAAAGTAGAAGGGGTTGGAGAGGGCCAGGAGTGCTGGAGCACCCAGCTGGGAAGAGAAGCAGTGCAACATGGGACTGGAGAGGGAGGCTGTGGCCATAGGTTGAAGGCCCCATTAGATGTGTGTTGTTTACTGTAAGTAGCAAAACACTGTTGGGTTTGAAACTGACGAATGAGGGGGTCTGCTTATCTTTGGTCTTAGCTTCAAAAACACCTTTGGCCTGATTTTCCATTCAGGGAATGGTCCCAAGTTTTGAGACTATTTAATGTACCCACAAGCTGGGTCTCAGAGCAGGGAAGCGCCACAGTTTTTGTCCCCTGCAGTTGAGAGTAAGAGTTTTGCTACGCTAATACACGCAGTGTCCTGAGAGAGCAGAATCAAGACCATCTGTCTCCTCATTATAAACAGGGGGGACAGGTGGGGACCACAGGCTGACATCTGCCTGCTCAGAGCTGCCAGGGCTGCTGTGGAATGCAGAGGTGCAGGAGAGGTTTGCCTCTTTGTTGGTGGCCATGAGGGTCAATGAGAGGGCAGTAAGTAGAAATGGTGGGAACAGGAACCCTTATACAGTCATGGGTCAGCCTGCTTCCTCTCCGACTGTAAAGAGTGGATGAGCCCAGAGCAGCTCTCAGCACTGGGACTCTCCAACCTGCTGGCCATCTTTGCCAACCTTGGTGGGGATCCAGGATCTAGTTAGGTGAATCAGGGTCTAGTCAATGCAGCTGGGGCTGAAATGGGTTCTTAGAGCTGCAGAGCCCAGGGTCAGGAGCCCCAAACATGTAGGTAATGCACTCCATGAGGGACTGCAGATTATCCCATACCTCCAGGGTATTTTCTGTCAGTGGGCACAAGTCCTATCTCTCAAAGATGTGTGATATGCTTTAAGTAAAAAGGGTTCCTTTTGCTGAATGAGGATCCTGTGATACAGGTTTCACCTAACCAGTCTCTCACCCCCTCAGAATGAAGTGGAGAGTGTCACAAGCATGCTCAATGAGGCAGAGGGTAAGGCCATCAAGCTGGCCAAGGACGTGTCATCCCTTGGGTCCCAGCTTCAGGATACCCAGGTGAGTATCCTGCCATACCATCCAGGGGTCCTGGGATGCCTCTTTCCTCAGGGTGCATCCCCGGGACTGCCATGTATGCGTTCTGTTGTAGGAGCTACTTCAAGAAGAAACCAGGCAGAAACTCAATGTGTCCACCAAGCTGCGTCAGTTGGAGGATGAGCGGAACAGCCTGCAGGACCAGCTGGACGAAGAGGTGGAGGCCAAGCAGAACCTGGAGCGACATATCTCCACCCTGAACATCCAGGTGCAGACATATACTGGAGCCCATGTAGTGCTTTCTTCTCCTCTGGAGTCCATGTGGGTCCTCCCTTCTTTGGGGTCCATGTGGGTTCCCTTCTCTGGGTCTGGAGTTCCCTTTGTGGGTTGTGTGCTCACTGGCTCCTCCTGCTGTTGAATTTCTTCAATGAGGCAAAGGTGGCTTCACTTAGTGTCTGGTAGTGAGGAGTGAGGGGGTGCCTGTTCTTCTCACACCCAACCCCAACTCTTTCCTCTCCAGCTCTCAGACTCAAAGAAGAAGCTGCAGGACTTTGCCAGCACCGTGGAGGCCATGGAGGAAGGGAAGAAGCGGTTCCAGAAGGAGATTGAGGGCCTCACCCAGCAATATGAGGAGAAGGCCGCTGCTTACGACAAACTGGAGAAGACCAAGAACAGACTTCAGCAGGAGCTGGACGACCTGGTCGTCGATTTGGACAACCAGAGGCAACTGGTGTCCAACCTGGAAAAGAAACAGAAGAAGTTCGATCAGGTAGGGCTGAGAGCCCTCCGCCCATCCTCAGACCCTGGGTAAAGTCAGGTGTGCATGGCTCTAGGGCTGGCACTGGGAGTCCACTCCTCATCCCCACTCTGCTGGAAGCAGGGAAGGCTATCTTGTTTAGGGTGATCATGACCCATGAGGGCCACAGCAGAAGGCATAACACTGAGACTTTTCTAGGGGAGAGCACTGCGAAGGCTGCCCACAAACAGCCTCAGGGCTAGCTCAAAACCCTAATGAGGGGCAAACAGCCTCAGAACTAGCTTGCAACTCTAATGAGGAATGAGGCTCACTTATCTCATCCACTCTGAATACTCTGGAGGACTTATTGAAGATTACAAGTAATTCCAGGTGTCTACTCTTTAGAGTATTTTGTTTAATTTCCACTTTTCCTCCCCCTCCCCCC